CTCCATCGAAGCAGGGTGGGGTGGGCCTGGGCGGGAGCCCCAGCCTCCCCTTGGAGATGGGCCTGGTGTGGGTAGCCACGCCGCCTCCTGGACCCTGCTGGGTAGGAGCCTGGCCCTGCACCTTTGAATCCTGTCCTGGGGTTGCTGGCTGCCTCCCGGCATCCTGAGCACCATGCCAGAAGAAAATAAATGCAGTTTTCGGAGACAGGTGCCTGCCGAGGTCAGCAAGGCCCCCGTCTGTCCGTGCCTCTGGCTGTGCGCGCGTGGCGAGGTTTTCTGAAAGAACCAGAGTGAGTGAGGGGAGCCATCTTGTGGAGGGACCCTCTGTGGCCAGTCCGCTTGTGTGATCTCTGTGGACTGATTGGGAGTTGTGGCAAATATGGCCAGAAATGGGGCCTAGTCTCGGACCGTGTCCCGGGGTTACGTGGATTTAGAGTCGATGGGGGGCGTGACCACTCAGGAGGCCATGCTGGGAAGATGGGGGAGGGGAGTCAGGACGATGGAAGGACCTGACCAAAGCGGGGTGGGGAGGGAGGCTCAGAGGAGGGTGAGCCATGTGGCTTCCCGGATGAGGAGAAGAGAAAAAGTCTGTCCTGACGGAGGCCCCATGACAGCTGCCCTGGGCCGGGATGTTTTGGGGAGGGGAGATTGCACTGGCATCGAGCCATCCTCATTCCATCTGGAGGGGTGGGGCCTGGGGGCTTCTGTGAAAGGGGCCATGAATGGACCCGGTGGACAAGGGTATCTGCTGGCCCAGGCACCTGCAGGCCCTGTCCGTTCCATCTCCCCGATTTCCGCTTCACACCCTTTGCTGTTCTCTGCCCAGGGCCTGAAGCCGATGGACCACAATGGGCTGGCAGACCCCTACGTCAAGCTGCACCTGCTGCCAGGAGCCAGTAAGGTGAGGGGTTTCACCCAGGCCTGCCCACCAGCGGCACCCCCCCACCACCTCAGGCAGTGCACACTGGTCCTTTGGCTTTGGGGCCTGGACTGGGCTGGGGACACCCAGGGAGGCCCACCGCTGCCACTCCCCTCAGAGCCCAAGCAAGCTGGTGGGACCTCAGCCGTTCAGCGTTACCTGCCTGCTGATCTGGGAATTCCAGAATTTCCAGGCCAGCATTTTATAAGACGCATTCTCAGTTGGAGGTTACTATTACGGACCTATCAGAGCATTTAACATGCTGATGGGCTGTTCCTTGACTCTCCGTAAGGGGGATGAAGTGGGCGGAATCTGCCCAGTATATTTGACCACAGGATCCTCATTCCTACGCCAAGAGTCCGACCACACGTGTGGAAAGGGCACCAGCACAACAGGTGCATCTAGGAGAGGAGAGAGAAATTGCTGTTAAACAAAAGCATCAAGGTGACCTCGAGCTGTGGAAAATCAGAACTTAATTAGACTTCCTTCTGTGCATCGTGCACTTCAGTGCTGTTTTATGTTTAATTTCATGGGGCAGAGTCTGAGTTGACTTGGGGGCCTAAATGGGTAGGCCTGGGCCCGCAGCCATCCAGGAGGCCCACCCCAGAAGGGACCATTCCCCCTTCCCTCGGGAAGGCAGGGCTGTGGGAGAAACGGCAGCGCCCCACCACCTACTCCTGGGGAAGAAATGGGCTCCCCATGCTGGGCCTCGACGTCTTTATGCTGCCAGAGGGGCTCGGGGATGTGAGGGCCGAGGGCGAGTGTGACCAGGGAAGTGTGCCCCACGTGGGACCTCAGTGACCCCTCATTTGTGGGACTGGAGCCGGCAGTGCCTGGCTGCCGAGTTGTAGGAAGTCCCCAGGATTTTCCCCAGTGTTTTATCAAGAGCAGTCTCCTTATAAACAAGCGGGAGAGAGGGATCCCATGGCCTTTCCACAGCGGGAACCCTGATGCTGCCACAGAGCCGGCATTGGAAGCCCGGACTGTCTGACCTCCCAGCCTGGGCCAGGCGTGGCAGGCATCAGACCGACTCAGACGAGGAGCTCAGAGTCGCTGGCACAGGAGGAGGGAGTGGCGGCAATATTCCAGCTCGGAGAGGCCACCCTGAGCCGGCCCGAGGACAGGATGGGTTCCAGGCAGAGGGGACAGTCCGCAAAGGAAGGGAATGCCCTGGGGAGGAGATCCGGTGCCACACAGGCCTCCTGCAGACCCCACCCCATGGCCTCGGGCTGGAGGTGGAGTCCTCTTTGGATGAGCCTCCCTCATTCTCTGCCTGCTCTGCAGGTGAGAAGTCCAACCGTGGTCTCCCTGGGCTGCGTTCCTTCTGGAACCTGGGGAGCCCACCCATGTCCTAGCTCTTTCCAGCTTCTGGAGGCCGTCCACCCTCCTGGGCTCCTGGCCCCTTCCTCCGCCCTCACAGCAGGCCCCGTTGCATCCCTCTGGCCGCCTGCCTTGGTGACGTCTCACTCTGACTCTCTTCTCTGCCCTTTCTGCTGTGAAGAGCCTGTGACCACATTGGGCCACCCGACAGTCTAGGATAATCTCCCCGTTCTGATGTCAGCTTGTTACGAACCGTAACTCCACCTGCAGCCTCAGCTCCGCCTGGCCGTGTTGATGACACGTTCCCAGGCTCCAAGATGAGCATGTGGCCATCTCTGGGGGCCGCTGTTCTGTCTGACACACCCTTCGATGCTCATACGATCATCTCTCTCTTCTCCAGGCAAATAAGCTCAGAACAAAAACTCTCCGTAACACTCTGAACCCCACGTGGAACGAGACCCTCACTTACTACGGGATCACAGACGAAGACATGATCCGCAAAACGCTGCGGTAGGCGAGGCCCCGGCCGCCCGCCCCTCCCCCACCCCGCCCGCTTGTCCTCATGAAGGCGGGACCGGAGGGTCAGAGGGTCTCCTGTGGGTTCAGCCTCATGCAGGCCACCCCAGCCTGGGGGTCTGAAGAAAGGCAGAAAGGTCTGTTCACACCGGCGGAGCCTGGTGGATGGAAAGGGTCACCCTGGCCCCAGTGCCCTGAAGGTGCTTCCTGGGGCCTCTCCCGGTGCTGGCGCCGGTTCCCTTCAGAGAACCGGCTCTCCCCACCTCCCAGCACCGGCCCCACCTTCTCCTGTCCCCTCTTCCAACCTGAGGACACTTGTCCGGGAGGACAGTACCTGACATCATGCCACACTCTGGCCCTGTCAGGGCCCAGGCATCTCGTGCGTCTCCCACCCCAGACCAGGGCAGGGCCTGGGGCAGGACAAGCCAGGGCTGGCCCTACCCGCGCACACTCCCCCCACGCCCCGTGCGTCCGAGCCGCTGGCTGTGCCTCTCACCCCCAACCCAGGATCTCTGTGTGTGACGAGGACAAATTCCGGCACAATGAGTTCATCGGGGAGACACGCGTGCCCCTGAAGAAGCTGAAAGCCAACCACACCAAGACCTTCAGTATCTGCCTGGAGAAGCAGCTGCCGGTGAGAGGAGTATTGAGCGCCTGCTGTGTGCCTGGCTCGGTGGCAGGTGCTGGGAAGGCAGAACTTCCTGCCCGTGGTGGGGCTACTGAGGGGCAGAGTGAGAGGGGAGGGGAGATGAGGAGGTGAGCGTGGAGGGGCAGGGGGCTGGAGGTGAGGGAGGACCCTGGCTTTCACTCTGAGTGGCCACGGGAGGGCGCGAAGCTGAGGGAGTGCGGGGGATGACAGTTTACCAGCCTCACTGGCCTGGGCTCAGGATGGCTTGAAGAAGCGGGAGGAGAGGGCAGGAGGCCCGGGGAGATGGGGAGAGATGGGCACAGCCCCGGCCTGACCTTGGCGGCGGTAGGAGAGCTTGACTCTGAACCGGATGTCCGGGCAGCAGATAGGACATCCTTGGGTGAGGGAAGGGCAGGTCCGAGGTTTGGGGCCGGAGCCACCGGAGCCTGAGGGGCTTTTCGCGGCACTCAGAGGACCGTAGCAGGGGCCACGGGTGGACGGGACTCTCAGGGAGCGTGCGTGGAACGTGTCAGACTTGAGTGCCTGTGAGATACTCAGAGGAGACAGAATGGCCTTTGTCTGAACGTTATGTCAGAAGAGATTGTGCCCCCTGGCCTGCTCCAGCAGCTACGCCCTCCCGCGTCTTGGCCTCTATGTCCCTCTTCCCTGCCCCACCCTCCCTTGTCTCTGGCCTGGCCTTCACCTGGTTCATAGGGCTGATGAAGCCAGGAGTCCCTAGTGCCACCAGGGTCAAGAGAAATGCCGGGGCCTCAGCCTCCCAGTGTTCAGGGCACAGGCAGAGGCTGGGCAAGGGGCAAGTTCAGAAGGACAAAGCCCAGCGGTTGTCCCCAGTGTACCCAGCCCCAGTGGGCCTGGGAATGTGGACTCAAGTCAAGCCCTGGGGGTGAGTCAGCCCCCAGGGCTGACTGTGGCCAGGGCTTCTTCCCAGAATCCCAGTTGTTTTTTCATCATTTGATCCAATTTTATTCCCTTGTCACCTTCTCTCCCACTCAGACATTCGTGTGATGGGTATAAGCTTTTCTGGTTTATTATTAGTCACTCACCACAGGTAACCCAGTTTTTCCATATGATCTATGTCACTTAAGAAAGGCAACATCTTGGGAGGCCGAGGGAGGTGGATCACGACGTCAGGGGTTCGAGATCAGCCTGGCCAACATGGCGAAACCCCATCTCTACTAAAAATACAAAAATTAGCCAGGCGTGGTGGCGGGTGCCTGTAATCCCAGCTACTCAGGAGGCTGAGGCAGGAGAATCGCTTGAACCTGAGAGGCGGAGGTTGCTGTGAGACAAGATCACACCAGTGCACTCCAGCCTGGGTGACAGGAGGGAGACTCTGTCTCAAAAAAAAAAAAGAAAGAAGGAAAAGGCAACACCAGCCCTACTGTAGTGTTCCTGAGTTTTGATCACTGGAAGCAACCGTGTGGGTATGTGCTTGTGTGTGACTTGTGCGTAAGAGCATGTGTCAGTACATATCTGTGTGTGACTGTGTGTCTACGTGTGTGTGGTGTGTGTTCGTGAAAGCGTGTGCATCCCTGTGCATGGCCGTGATCACGGCATTACTGGGTGCGCTACCAGCTCATTGGTGCCATTCAGGGACTCACAGTGACCACAGGAGTACAGCTTGGGATACACCCCTGGCAGTAAAGCCACATTCTGGTGATACTTTTTTAAAATTTTTATTATTTTTTTTGAGACCAAGTCTTGCTCTGTCACCCAGGCTGGAGTTCAGTGGCACAATCTTGACTCACTGCAACCTCTACCTTCCGGGTTCAAGCACTTCTCGTGCCTCAGCCTCCCGAGTAGCTGGGACTACAGGCCTGTGCCACCATGCCCGGCTAATTTTTGTATTTTTGGTAGAGACGGGGTTTCACCATATTGGCCAGGATGGTCTCAAACTCCTGACCTCGAATGATCCACCTGCCTCAGTCTCCCAAAGTGCTGGGATTACAGGTGTCCACCACCATGCCTGGTTAATTTTTGTATTTTTAGTAGAGACGGGTTCACCAGGTTGGCCAGGCAAGTCTCGAACTCCTGACCTCTGGTGATCCTCCTGCCTTGGCCTCCCAAAGTGCTGGGATTACAGGCGTGAGCCCCTGTGCCAGGCCTCTGGTGGTACATTTAGAATCTACAGTCTGCGAACATTGTCTGTTTTAAGTCAATACTGAGCAATACCCAATGGTCTTCATATGAAACAACCCAAAGCACAATATCCCAGCCCTGAAAAAACAGGGAAAATATCCCTGAAAAAACAGCGAAAGATGTCCCTGCTGGTGGTGGTTTTGAGTTGGGGTCTCGCTCTGTCGCCCAGGCTGGAATGCAGTGGCGCGATCTCAGCTCCCTTCAACCTCCGCCTCCTGGGTTCAAGTGATTCTCCTGCCTCAGCCTCCCAATAGCTGGGATGACAGTCTCCTGCCACCACGCCCGGCTAATTTTTGTGTTTTTAGTAGAGACGGTTTCCCCATGTTGGTCGGGCTGGTCCTGAACTCCTGACCTCAGGTGATCTGCCCGCTTCGGCCTCCCAAAGTGCTGGGGTTACAGGTGTGAGCCGCTGTGCCCGGCCCCTGCTGGTTTATATTGTCTAATTTTCACACCACACACACTGACACAGGCAGCACAGTGCCTCGAGGCCTCACACACAAAGCTCTGCCTGAGGGGCAGATGGCGAGATCTCACAGGCCTGCCCTGATCCACTGGGAACGGCTGCCTGGGCACTGTTGAAAAGGACTCTGAGGGGGCGTTGGAGCTCAGGGCAAACGCTGAGATCGATTAGCCATGCCTGCTCTGGGCGTGGGAGGTGGTGAAGGTGGCCGGTGGGGCGTGTGTGTCCTCCCTGCTCAACATCCCTGCTCACCTCACAGGACTCTCGTCTCCAGAAAGGGTTGGATGTAGCCAGAGGGACTCACTTGGTGCTAGGCAGGGCACAGTTGTGAGTAAAAGGGTGTGGCTGGGCCTGCTCAGGAGAGGAGCCTGGCAGAGTCCGAAGGGGACCCAGGGGGACACAGGGCTCAAGCTGGGTGTGTCCGGCTGGGCTGAGGCCCCGGAGAGAGGGTTTGGGTGCACAGCAGCCGGAAGGAAGAGGCCAGGTGGCCTTGGGAGGTCAAGGAATGGAGAAGCCTCAGTCTGGCTGGGGATGGGGAGGCCTGGAACTGAGATCTGCCCTGAGAGGCAGGCACCGGGCAGCTGCTGAGGCAGGGGAGGGGACTGAGTGGCCTCCCCACCAGGCTCCCAGCTTCCCCAGGGTGAGGAAAGTACCAGAGCTCTGTCTCCTGGGCTCTCCTGAGGGAGCCGCGTCCAGCACCCTCAGAGGCTCCAGGAAGCACCTTCAGGGGACCGGGGCCAGGGTTACCCTTGTCCATCCACCAGGCTCCGTTGGCATCGGCAGACGTTTCTGCCTTTCTTTGAACCCTCCAGGCTGGAGTTGCTTGTGTGAGGTTGAACACACAGGGGTCCCTCCACTCCTGCCTTCACTAGTATAAGCCTCCAGTGGGCCTTTAGTGCCAGGCCCTTGCCCAGCCCTGAGGTATTAAAGATGATGCAGGTATTAGCCAGATGCAGTGGCTCATACCCATCATCCCAGCACTTTAGGAGGCTGAGGCAGGTGGATCACTTGAGGTCAGGAGTTTGAGACCAGTCTGGCAAACATGGCAAAATCCTGTCTCTACCAAAAAAACACAAAAATTAGACTGTAGTTCCACCTACTCAGGAGGTTGAGGCAGGAGAATCGCTTAAACCTGGGAGGCGGAGGTTGTAGTGAGCCAAGATAGTGCCACTGCGCTCCAGTCTGGGTGACAAGAGTGAGACTCTGTCTCAAAAAAAAAAAAAAATGTACAGGCAGAGTTCGAACTTCAAGGAACTTAGAGGTTGGGGCCGACCCATGAGGAAGCAGGGGGTCATGCAGGCCATGGCAGGATAAACCCGAGGCAGTGGGCACACACAGGGGACGGCCAACCCACCCCGAGGGTCAGAAAAGCCCCCCAGGCCCAGAAGGACCAGGAATTTATCAACGGTGAGCACAGAGGAGGGTGCTGGAGCTGTGGATTAAGCGTGCACAAAGGTGTGGAGGTGGGACCCGGCTTCAAAGCCGAGGGACCCCAGAGAAAGTCAGGGCGGGCCGTGAGGAGGACCTGGCGGAAGACCCTCTGCGGAGGCCGAGCACGCCAGCCCGGGGGCTGCAGAGCTGTGAGGGGCCGGTTAGCGCATGTCAGGGTCTGTGCACCATGCTGTCTGTGGCCGCCACGCTGCTCTGTCCTTAGAGCAAAAGCAGCCATAGAGAAGGCATCAAGGAGCCGGCAAGGCTGTGTTCCAATAACGTGTTATTAATGGAAGCCGAAGTGTGAATTTCATATCATTTTCATGTGTCACAAAATATTTTTCATTTCATTTTTCTTTCTGCTATTCTGAAAAGTAAGAACCAGCTGGGCATGGTGGCTCACGCCTGTAACCCCAGCACTTTGGGAGACCAAGGTGGGAGGATCCCTTGAGCCCAGGAGTTTGAGATCAGCCTGGGCAACATAGTGAGACCCCGTCTCTCTTTTTTTGAAAAAGAAATTTTTTTTAAAAAGGGTAAGAGCCACTCTTAGCTCACATCCCATACAGAGCCAGGCGTCGGGCCTGATCTGGCCCCCGGGCCGCAGTTGCCGATCCCTGGGCTGGCCCTTGCTGGGCTGTGAAGGGCACCCCAGGCCATGCAGCCAAGAACGGGGAGGGTGAGGTCAGATCCACCCCCAGCAGAACCCTTGGGAGGGAAGAGAGGACAGAAGGCCTGTGAGTTCAGTGTGGCCACTCACCAGGGACCCTGACCGGGCCTGGCTGCAGCAGTGAGAGTGGGTGGGCTCAGGAAGAGGAGGCCAAGTGTGGCCAAGAGAGGGGTGGGAGCAGGTGAGGACTGAGTGACCGTCCCGTCCAACAGGTGGACAAGACCGAAGACAAGTCCCTGGAGGAGCGGGGCCGCATCCTCATCTCCCTCAAGTACAGCTCGCAGAAGCAGGGCCTGCTGGTGGGCATCGTGCGGTGCGCACACCTGGCCGCCATGGACGCCAACGGCTACTCGGACCCTTACGTGAAAACGTGAGTGTGCTGCGCGCGTGACCACCTGCCACCTCTTCGCCTCTAAGGACGGGGGTCCGTGTGCCGGCTCCGTGGTCTCAGGTGGCAGGCACCCAGGGAGTACCTGAGGTACAGGGGCGCCGTGTTCCCTGATGGGCTCCCTTGGCAACTCCAGGGGTTAAACATGGCCGGCCCACTTCACAGATGGGGAAACTGAGGCCCAGAGAAGCTGAGTGGCTTCCCAGAGTCATGCAGATATTAGTTATCACCTGATGCTATGTCCAGGCCTCTCTGTGACTGAGGGGCCCAGGAGGGGCCATGAGGAGGTCGGAGGAGGGGACAGAAGGCGGGGCCAGTGCCAGGGGTAGCCAGGAGGCTGGGGGAGGTGGCAGAGGAACTCTGCCAGGCCTTAGCAAATGCCCACGTGTGCCCAGCCCTATACTGGGACCACAGATGCAGATAAGAGTCCACCCAGCTCTACCAACAGGGGCTGATGGGGGTCCTGGGAAGAGACACTAACTCAGGGTCCATGCCAGGTGACCTGGGCCTCAGAGCTGTGGACCTGTGAGCCTGGTCAGGAGAGGCTGTGCAGCTCTGAGAGCCAGGCAGGAGCTGGCGACCCTTTGGAGAGGGGTGCCGCAGGTGCCGCAGTGACTACCGTCAGTGCCTGGGGCTCTGCAGAAACTAGGTAGGTATGAGTGTGAGCTCACAGGGAGATGCTGGGAAAGTGAGACTTGGAGAGGGATTCAGTTCACAGAAAGGAGAGGCAGGTGCTTCAGGGAGGGGATGACAGAGGAATGGCCCTGACCCAGGGGACACCAAGGACCCAGGGGACTAAGTCCTCAGGGACATCCTGGCACCATGAAGAGGCCGGTACTCCTCATGGCACAGCTCTGGGGGCACCATTCCCATGGCCATGATCATATTTCTGTCACTTTAAAAATTGTATGTGGCAGGTGCAGTGACTTCCACTTACATTCCCAACACTTTGGGAGGCCAAGGCAGGAGGATCGCTTGAGGCTAGGAGTTTGAGAACATCCTGGGCAACATAGTGAGACCCCCATCTCTAAAAAAAAAAAAAAAATTAGCTGGGTGTAGTGGCATGTGCCTGTAGTCCTAGCTACTTGAGAGGATTGCTTGAGCCTGGGAATTTGAGACCAGCCTTGGCAACATCCTGAGACCTTGTCTCTACAGTTAAAAATAATAATAAATTAGGCCGGGTACAGTGGCTCATGCCTATAATCCCAGTACTTGTGGGAGGCCAAGGCATATGGATCACTCAGCCTGGCCAATATGGGGAAACCCCGTCTCTACTAAAAATAAAAAAAATTAGCCGGGCATGGTGGCTCATGCCTGTAATCCTAGCACTTTGGGAGGCTGAAGTGGGTGGATCACCTGAGGTCGGGAGTTCGAGACCAGCCTGACCAACATGGAGAAACCCCGTCTCTACTAAAAATACAAAATTAGCCGGGTATGGTGGTGCATCCCTGTAATCTCAGCTACTTGAGAGGCTGAGGCAGGAGAATCGCTTGAACCCACGAGGCGGAGATTGCAGTGAGCAGAGATCGTGCCATTACACTCCAGCCTGGGCAACAACAGTGAAACTCTGTCTCAAAAAAAAAAAAAAAAATTAGCTGGGCATGGTGGCAGGAGCCTGTAATCCCAGCTACTTGGGAGAATGAGGCAGGAAAATCACTTCAACCTGGGAGGTGTAGATTGCAGTGAGCCGAGATCGCACCACTGCACTCCAGCCAGGGTGACAGAGCAAGACACTGTCTCAAAATAATAATAAATAAATAAAAATAACATGACAATAATGGGATGGCTACTTTGGGAAGCAGCCAATAGTCCCTCAGAAAGTTAAACAGAGTCACCATTTGATCTGGCAATTCCACTCCTAGTTATATACCCAAGAGATAAGAAAAACACGCCCATCCTAAAACTTGTGCAGGAACGTTCATAGCACTACTCACAACAACCAAAAGTGGAAACAGCCCAAGCGTCCATCCACTGATAAATGGATACACAAATGAGGTCTGTCCCTGCAGTGGAATATCAGCCCTAAGAAGGAGTGCAGCATTGGTGTGTGGAATATCAGCCCTAAGATGGAGTGTAGCAGGTACGTGCTACACCGTGGGTGGACCTTGAAATCAAGATGCTAAGTGAGAGAAGCCAGATCCAGAAGGGCCACGTATTGCAGGACTTTATTTCTATGAAGTGTCCGGAATAGGTCAACCCACAGAGGCAGAGGGTAGATTTGTGGTTGCAGGAGCCGGGGGAAGCTTGAGGGGACATGGGCATTGGCTGCTGAAGGGTTCTAGGTTTCCTTCTGAGGTGATGAAAATGTTCTAAAATTGATCGTGATGATGGCTGCATAATTCTGTGAATATACCAAAAACCACTGAATTATACACCTAAAAGGGTGCATTGTACAGTATGTGTATTATGTCTCAAAAAATCTGTTATTTTAAAAAATCCGATCACACCAGGCTCCAGGAGCAAAGCCCGGGACCTGCTGCATCTTTGGGGGAAGTTAGGCTTCCAGAAAGAGCACAGGGCTACTGGTTTTCTATGTGGAAAACACTAAAGTGGGCTCCAGCCTCAACAACTTAGCAAAACAAAGTATCCAGTGCACTAGAGACCCGAGTGTTGGGGGAAGCTCTGTGAATGCTGAAAAGACACTCAGGAGACTCCCATAATAACCATTGGAGAGAAAGTTGGCAATATCCAGTCGACGTGGGAAATGCGTGTGCCCTGTGGCCACATTATTTTCCTTCCAAGTTTATTTCCTAGAAACCTGGGCATGGGTGGGTAGCTGTTTATCACAGCATTGCTTGTCATAGCTATAAACTGGAAATAGCCAAACATTCATCCTCAGAGGAATAGATTAATAAAATGTGGCATATGTGTAGAATATAGTACTATGCAGTTAAAAATGAATAAATTAGAACTAGATGAATTATTATAACATGGACAGCTGTTGAAGACACACCAAATGACACACAGTAGGATACTGGTTTGTGTCTATATATTTTTTCTTCTGACTTGTCATTGACTTGAATCTCATTCGTATATATCCTTGCAGGAGGATATGCAATCTGAAGCCCAAATGGTGTGGTTTTGTGTTTTTTTTTTGTTTGTTTGTTTGTTTTTGAGACAGAGTCTTACTCTGTTGCCCAGGCTGGAGTGCAGTGGCATGATCTCAGCTCACTGCAACTGCTGCTTCCCAGGTTCAAGTAGTTCTCATCCCTCAGCTTCCCAAGTAGCTGGGATTACAGGCATGCATCACCACGCTCGGCTAATTTTTGTATTTTTAGTAGACAGGGTTTCACCAGGGTGGCCAGGCTGGTCTTGAACTCCTGACCTCAAGTGATCCGCCCGCCCTGGCCTCCCAAAGTGCTGGGATTTCAGGTGTGAGCCTCTGTGCCCAGCCTATGGTGTGAAACTTTCAAACCCGTTTCAATGCTCACCTGCCAGATGGACAGGAATTCCAGGGTCACCTGCTGGGTTGCCCAGAAAGCAGGGTCTTACCTGCTGTGACAGACAGTCTGGTCAACTTCCACAGGCAAGCAGGGGGCCGCCTGGGCAGGGCCCGTCTGCTGTGCCACAGGCTCCTCCCTGCCACAGGTGGCTGTTGTGGGTGCTGCTGGACTCCTGCAGCTGGGTCCCACCTGCCAGCCACGTCTCAGGTCACATGGCCTTTCAAAGTCACGCCAAGCTGTGGGCCACTCCCTATATCTGAGCCACACGTCACCTGAGACCTCCACGTCTGTTTCAGACTCCCTGAGTGAGACACGAGGGCTGCTGCTCGGGTCTCCTCAGCGGTCCCCATCTCTGAAAGGCCCCTTCATGGACCAAGGGCCTTTTCCTCACTAAAATTAGCAGGGGAAATGAGGGCACAGGTTAGATGGTAAAAGGGGCACCCCTCAGCTGCATCCTAGACCTGGAAGGGAGTGTGACCTGTGCCCCAGAAGACAGGGAGGGACGTATCCAGCGGTTGATGCTGAGGGCCAAAGCTAGATGGCTCAAGGCCTTCTGTCTGCACTATTATTTTTATTTATTTTCTTTATTTCTTCCTATCTTTTTTTTTTTTCTTATTTTAAATTTTTTTTTTTTGAGACAGAGTCTTGCTCTGTCACCCAGGCTGGAGTGCAGTGGCGCGATCTTGGCTCACTGCAAGCTCCACCTCCCGGGTTCAAGCGATTCTCCTGCCTCAGCCTCCCGAGTAGCTGGGACCACAGGCGCCCGCCACCACGCCCGGCTAGTTTTTTGTATTTTTAGTAGAGACGGGGTTTCACCATGTTAGACAGGATGGTCTGGATCTCCTGACCTCGTTATCCGCCCACCTTGGCCTCCCAAAGTTATTTCTTCCTATCTTTTTTGAGACAGTGACTCACTCTGTCACCGGGCTGGAATGCAGTGATGCGATCATAGCTGACAACAGCCCCAAACTCCTGGGCTCAAGCAGTTCTTCTACCTCAGCCTCCCGAGTAGCTGGGACTACAGGTGTGTGCCACCATGCCTGGCTAGTTGTTTTTTGTATTTTTTGTAGAGACTGGGTTTTGCCATATTGGCCAGGCTGGTCTCAAACTCTTGGACTCAAGCGATCCTCCTAGCTCGGCCTCCCAAAGTGCTGTGATTACAGGTGCAAGCCACCATGCCCAGCTATGCACCGTTATTTTTATAAACCTCATCTCTGGTGACACTTGCCCCAGTTTCCCTGGAAGTTGACCCCAGGCCCACCTCTTGAGGGTTTGTGGGAAAACCCCAGGAGTAACAGTGCCTGTGACAATCGCTGACATGTCGAGTTACACGTAATATCCCTGGGCGGTGCGAAGGCTGAGTGTGACCCTCCCAGCAGCCTGTGCAGTCGCCCCTGTTATTATGTCCATTTCATGCCAGTGAAAATGGCGGTAACTGGCAGTAACTTGCTGTGCCACCCTGGGCAACTCCCTTCTCTGGCTCTCTTATGTATAACCAGAAGGGGTTTCTTCTCGAAGCCACAGGCAAGCGGAAGGTGCTGTGCAGAAGGGCCAGAGGTACATGGCACAGGGTGGCTCCATGAGCCCCAGTGGCCAGGGCCACTGTCCTGACAGCAAGGGAGACAGCGACGCCACAGGGCAGGCCTCCGGGGCTTTGCAGGGTGGGCTGGCGCCAGAGCAGGGTGTGCGCAGGGACGGTGCTGAGGGATCTCCGCGGAGTGGTCAGGTGAGGAGGGAAGGGCGCTCCTGGCAGGGAAAGCAGAACAGAGGGCACCGCTGGTGGAACCGCGCATAGCTGAACGTGCTGAGGCTGGTGGAACTGTGCATAGCTGAACGTGCTGAGGCTGGTGGAACTGCGCGTAGCTGAACGTGCTGAGGCTGGTGCCGGTTGTGGAAGTCTGGTGGCTGAGTGAGGGGTCAGCAGATGGGCACAATGTCCAGGCTGAGGGCGCAGAGACCCCAGAACCACTTTCCTTCCAGGGGCCTGGGAAGGCCGGGCATGCAGGACGCTTCTGTCCTTGCTCCTCACCCGTTACCAAACAGGCCAAGGACAATTCACAGCAGACACAAAACCAATACGTAGCGAAATGGCCAAGGAGCCTAGTAAGTAACTAAGGAAATCCGCTGTCTCCGGTGGTGGGGGCTTCGGGGAATCTCCCCAACCTTCTTTTTTAAATCAGGTTTATTGAGGTACAGGTTGAGTGTCCCAAATCTGTAAATCCAAAACCCCAAACATTTCAAGCACCGACATGACGCTCAAAGGAAATGCCCGTTAGAGCGTTTGGGATTTCACATTTTTGAATTTTTGAAATTTTGGATTAGGGATGCTGAACTGGTAAATAGACTGCAAATATTACAAAATATGAAAAAAATCAAAATTCAAAACATCTGGTCCAAGCATTTCAGATAATGGATCCTCAACCTGTATCATTCATACCCAGTGAGTTTTTCTTTTGTTTTCTTTTCTTTTTTAGAGACAGGGTCTTGCCCTGTCGTCCAGGCTGAAGTGCAGTGGTGCAATTATAGCTCATTGCAGCCTTGAACTCCTGGGCTCAAGCGATCTTCCCACCTCAGCATTGTGAATACCTGGGACTACAGCCATGCACCACCATGCCCAGCTAATTTTTAGTTTTTTGATAGAGATGGGGTCTTGCTGTATCGTCCAGGCTGGTACAGTCTTGTTTCCACCACCACAATCGACATAAAGAATATGACCCCAGAAAGTTCCCCAGCCCCAGGCAACCACTGACCTGTTTTCTGTCTCAATAGTGTTGCCTTTTCCAGATTTCCCCATGAAGCAGTCAGATAGTGCGTCTGTGAAGCCCCGTGAATCTGGCTGCTTTGACACAGAGAAATGTGTTAGATTCATCTGTCAGTTGCATGGACCAGGAGTTTGGTCCTTTCTATTGCTGAGTGGTCTTCCGTTCTTGATTAGTTCCCCGGTTGAAGGGTGTGTGGTTGTTTGCAATTTTTGGTGGTGGTAGAAAGCTGCAATGAACAGGTTTTTGTGTGGACATATGTCTTCATTTGTCTCTCCTAATCCCAACTTTTGTCCATATGCATTTTCTAGTGCTTCTATAATAAACCAGTATTATTTATGCCATGGAAGTCACAATTTTAAAATATGCAAAGTAAAGCAACTATGAGATATCCTTTTCTGCCTCTCAAACCAGCAAGGATTTTTTAAGTGATAGCATTCAGCTTTGTCACAGGCACTGTGTGTCAACCGTGTAGCCTTCCTGGAGAGGAACTGGCAAAATAAGCCACACATGGGCGTGCCTTTGGGTGGTGCCTTCACTTCTAGGGATTCAGGTATTCGTTGGACAGATGTTTGTTCAGCCCCCCAGTGCCAGGCGCAAGGAGTTGGTAGTGGGCGAGACCGCAGAGCACGCTCAGCACGGACAAGGCAGTTGTCATGCAATTATCCATGCGGGAAGAGGGGGAGTTTTGCAAAGAAGTTGAGGACCTCTTGTCCCCTTCTCCAGCCTGCACATGACCTCCCTGTCACACAGAAAGAAGCCTGAGCCTGGCTTCCAAGCACCACGCTTGTGCTTGCCGGCTGTGTGACCTTGGGCAAGTCACTCCACCTCTCTGGGCCTCAGAGGGAGACAGCTGTTCTGCATCAGCGTCTAAGGCCTGAATGGCTGTGGAGGGAAGAACATCTGTGTGGCCTCCTGTTACTGCACAAAAGGTCTTGTCCTTCCTCAGAGCTCCAGCGAGGTAGTGGTGATGGTTGTACAACTCTGCAAGTCTACTAAAGGCTACTGCATTTTATACTTCAGAAAGATTGATTTTATGGTATGTGAATTATATCTCAACGAATCTGCTATTTTATAAAAGAAGCTTGAGGCTGGGCGTGGTGGCTCATGCCTGTAATCCCAGCACTTTGGGAGGCTGAGGCAGGTGGATCACCTGAGGTCAGGAGTTCGAGACCAGCCTGGCCAACATGGTGAAACCCTGTCTCTACTAAAAATACAAAAATTAGCTGCGCATGGTGGCGGGTGCCTGAAATCCCAGCTACTCCAGAGGCTGAGGCAGGAGAATCGCTTGAATCCGGGTGGTGGAGGTTGCAGTGAGCCATCTCAAAAAAAAAACTTTGAACAAGAGACCAACTCTGCTAAAAGCTCTGTTCTGGTGGGAAACGTGAGCCTGATGAAAATTAGGCTTCCAGAAACGAGGAAAAATCCCTTCCCTAGGGGGATGGAAGGCCCTCACCATGGTTCACTTCAGGAATGTGTGTGTGAACAGAAGTGCGGTGGATAAAGGGACCCCCCCCCCAACCATGGTTCACTTCAGGAACATGTGTGTGAACAAGGGGATGGAGGCCCCCCCACCATGGTTCACTTCAGGAGCGTGTGTGTGAACAAGGGGATGGAGGCCCCCCCACCATGGTTCACTTCAGGAGCGTGTGTGTGAACAAGGGGATGGAGGCCCCCACACCATGGTTCACTTCAGGAGCGTGTGTGTGAACAGAAGTGCGGTGGATGAAGGGAGCCCCCCCCACCATGGTTCACTTCAGGAGCGTGTGTGTGAACAGAAGTGCGGTGGATGAAGGGACCACTTGCTTCTCAAAAACAATGTCTCGCCTTTGCCACAAAATAGCGTTGGGAAAATGCAATGATTAGGACAAAAGAAGGGTCCAGGAATCTCTCCAGGGACAGAAAGCTCTTCGAATCCCTGCTGGCTTGATCTATACCCCACAGCATGTCCCCATCCTCTGCCTGTCCCTTGGCTGTAATTCCAGATACCTGAGGCCAGATGTGGACAAGAAATCCAAACATAAGACAGCGGTGAAGAAAAAAACCCTGAATCCGGAGTTTAACGAGGTATGAGGGGCTGGTGAAGCTTCACGGAGGCCACTCCCCTGCCCCAGGGCGGTGGGGGTGTGGCTGGGTTTTCAAAAGGTCATGGTGGGATGGGGAGGGTGGTCAGAGAAGGTGGGGAGGGGCCGCACCAAGCCACAGACACAGGGGAGCTGGGGGACCCCTGGAAAGCTCTTGGCAGGACTTGTCAGATGTAGGGCTGGGGAGAGGGAAGTGTTGAGGGGTGTCCTGGGCTCCTCATGGAGGCCACGGGGCAAAGAGGGGGTGAGGAAGAGGGGGAGAAGCTCTGTGTGGGACGAGGGGACTCGAGTCGCCGTGGGACCCCAGGAAGGTCTTCAGCCCAAGGTGGCGAGTACAGCTGGAAACGCGACTCCCCCCAAGGAACAAGAAGGAAAGAAGAGCGGAGGGGCCTTGGGTAGAGCCCACGCCATACCCGTGGTCCAGAGGCGGGCAGGGGAGGCTGAGAAGATGCTTCTGGGGAGTGAGGGGAACCCCGGATGGAAGGGAGGGTCCCACAAGCTGTGGGAAAGAGGGACCCACAGAAGGGAGGGGTCAGCAAAGCCAGGCCCCAGAGAGGCCCAGGACGACAGGGACTGTGGGGCGGGCAGTGCCTCTGCGGTAAGGAGGCTCCCGGGATATGGGGAGAGCAGGCTCAGGGACAAGGAACAAGTGGGCGAGGGGATGGGGGCCCTGAAAACCCCAGCTGAGCTCAGGGAAGTGGGCGAGACGTGTGAGCGTCCACCCGTCATCCACCCTGAGCACTGATCACCCCATCCCCCCTGTTTCCCTACACCTCATACCCCTCCTGGCCGCCGGCCGAGGCCCAGGCCTCGTGGCATCAGCCCGAACGCTCCCTTCCGCCCAGCAGGAGTTCTGTTACGAGATTAAGCATGGGGACCTGGCCAAGAAGTCCCTGGAGGTCACCGTTTGGGATTACGACATTGGAAAATCCAACGATTTTATTGGTAAGGGGGCACAGTGGGAGCACCGTCTCGCTGTGTGCCTGTCCTGGATCAGGCCACAGCCCCTCCTTCCTGGTCCCTGGGGGAAGCTGGAGCCACGGACCACCTGCCCCCAGACCTGAGGGGCCTCAGACCTTCTCCAGCCTGAGCGCTGTGCCCTAGGAAGAGACAGGCCCAGAGAGGGAAGGCGTCCTGGGAGGGCCACACAGCACTGTGTGGTGGAGCACAGACAAGAGACGATGATGGGCAGTGCCTCGGGCTGGACTCTGAACCCTAGAGGCCCCAGATTCCTGGTGGGCCTGGTGGCTGCGCACAGTGGGGCTGCCCGGCCCTTTCTCCCCCCCTTCGGGCCCCATTCCTTGACCCCTGACACTGCCTCTGCACCCTGCCCCTATCCCTGCCCTGGTGGAAGAGGGACAGGATGGCTGGGCCCTGACGGGGCTGGAGTGTGGCATGGAGGGCAGGTCCTGTTCATGCTCGGAACCCAGCAGGCAGTGGGAGAGGCTGGCCTTTGAGCACAGAACCTGGGAGGGGGCACGGGTCCCACGCCTGGGAGTCGGGGGTCCCTGTGCCCGGCTGCCCCTCCTGTCCTCCCGCAGGTGGCGTGGTTCTGGGCATCAACGCCAAGGGGGAGCGCCTGAAGCACTGGTTTGACTGCCTGAAGAACAAGGACAAGCGCATCGAGCGCTGGCACACACTCACCAGCGAGCTCCCGGGGGCCGCGCTCAGCGACTGACGCCCGCCTGCCACTGCCACCCCCACCACCACCTGCGCCCAGCACGGCCGGCCCAGGCTTCCCCAGCAGCCACCAAGGCCTGTGGCCCCCACACTGGGGGATCCAGAACCCCTGCTTGGACCCAGAGCCACTGCAGTCCCCGCTCGGAGGATGTGGAGGGCTCAGCCACTCTGGGACGGGGAGGGCAGGCAGCTAGGGGTACTCTCAGCCCTCTGGGGCCCAAGGGGCTGATGGTGGAAGGAGACCTCAGCACCTGCCCAGGGGAAGGGGACAGGCCCATCCGGGAGCAAAGACCTTCTGGAGGCCAGCCCAGGCTGAGGGGACAGGAGTGTGGGGGCACCCTGGGGGACAGTGGGAACAGAGGAGGGAGGTGGTGAGCAGACAGACAGGTGGAGGACGGGACCTTGAAGACCGACTGCTCCAGCCCAAGGAAGGCTGACCGCATCCCTCATCTCCATCGCTGCTGGGCCGATGGAGGAAAGTCTGCGGAGTTCCCGGAGGCTCCTGATGAGGGTAAATTGGCACAGGCTTCCACAGTGATTCCACAAGCCCTGCGGGAGGGTGAGACACAGGGCCTGCCCTCAGGGAGTTTCTGTCTAGTCAGGGAGCTGGGAACAAACCACTGCAACTGGGGCGAGAAATACCGAGACCAGCCTGGCCAGTCTGCAAATACCACGGACTCTGCTGACTGCTGGGAGGTCAGGGAAGGCTTCCTGGAGGAAGCGGTGCTTCTGTAAGGCCTTGGAGGGTGAGTGGGGAGTTCTAGGTCTAAAAAGGCCTGGAGGAGAGAGAAGGCCAATGGGGCTGGGAACTGTGGACCCAGGGTCTCCTCTCCGAGGCAGGGTTTGTTAGGAAGGTGTGAGGCTCGAGGCAGGAGGTGGGGGAAGTGATGGAAGCACCAGGATAAACTGGTGCTGGTGCGGGGCCAAGTTCAGACCTCAGACCCAAGTCTCCCACTTTGATCTCTTTCCACTCCTGAGGGACCTGGAGGACGGAGCCCGCCACTCCTTCCCGGCGTAAGCATCAGGTCAACTGCAGTGGAGAAAGGGTCCCTTGTGCTTGGAGAAAAAGCAAAAGCTATACGTCCTCCCTCTGCCCTTTCCCTTCCCCTCCACTTCCTGGCTCACACTGAGTACTGGGGGCCTCCAGGTGCTTGCTCATGGCATCTTGGTCCTACCACCACCACAGATGTCCCTTCTGGGAGTAATCAGTGGCAGTCCAGGGCCTTGTCTCTGGGGAGGCCTGTGGGGCTGGCTCCACCCTCCAGGAGCTGAGCAGGAATCGCCCTGCCTGGTGGGCCTGTCTGCTTCCCTGAGTTCGGCTCTGCAGGAGGCTTGAGAGTATCTGAGTCTTGGGGCCCATGCCTGAAGCCCACAAACTTTCCCTGCCTACCAAGGGGCCCCCAGGAACACTGGGTGAACAAATGCAGAGCCAAGGTGTTGCACAGCCAGACTCCTTTTGCTCAGCCCATCAGCGTGTGATGGAAACAGAGGCCCAGAGAGGTTAGGTGACCTGCTCAGGGCCTTCCAGCCCCCACAGGGCTGTGGATCCACAGCCCCCAGCCCAGAATGCTGGACCCGACACTTCAGGGGAATTGCTGTGCTGAGCTCACATGAGAGAGGTCCTGCTAGCTGCTAGCCTGGGGCTCACCCGCCTGCTGCCCACCCCTTCAACACCGTTAGAGGGACTGACAGGCACGATGGTGGGAACTTCCACTGCAGACACAAAGCACACCACCACCTGAGGTGCAGGGTCATGATTTGAATCCCACCAAGTGCCCATCATGCCTTTCCCAGGTTGCAGGGAAAACAGGACCCCAGCCCCACACGGTCCCTGGCCACCTGCTGCTCATGGAACCTTGTCTGCCCACCTTTAGGAAGGGTTTTGTGTGTGAAAGCGTTTGCATGCACTTGTCTGGACGCATCTTCACAGCCCTGCAAGGTGGATTTGATTCTCATCCCCATCTTGCAGGTGAAACATGTTCCCAGAGTCTGAGTAGTTTGCCAAGGCCACAGAGCCAGGAAGGGGTGAGCCAGGACTCAAACCCAGGTCTTATGACTGCCACTTTCTCTCTCTGGGGGTCGGTACCCCCAGTCCCTTCCCTCCTGGTCTGTCAGAGACTCAGCGGAGACCCCAGGTGTAGGCTCAGTAAGCTCGGTGCATGATGGAGACCTGGGGTCTTGCCACTGTCCTGCCTCCTCGTCCGCTGGCTTTGAAACCATCTGTGCTACTTCAGGCTTCCCCAGAGGTGCCTAACCAGGCCCCAAAATTCAGCCACCCCACCCTAGCCTCTGGGGGCTGAGGCAAGGGCCCCTCTTTTCTCCACACAGAATGGGCATCCTCGGGGGGCCTAAGGTAAGAGGTGGTCTATTTCTAAAAGGCCTGGTGTCTACGTAAGTTCTGGGCATCGTCTTAGCTTTGCTTTTTTTGTGGGTCTCATTCAGAGAGGAGACTTGACAGCCTCTCTGAAGACACAGAAGTGAATGTCAAAGCTAGAAGAGGCTGCACCCTCCACCCAGCATGACTTCCTTATAGGCACATGGGGAACTTGGGGCCTGTGGGTGGACGGGGCCTGCTGGGGCACAGCTGGGGCAAGAACCCAGAGCTCCAGCCCCCCAGTCCAGGGCCCTCTACCGCCCAGGCTGCACAAATGGGGCTGGGCCTGACAGACGGGGAGTCAGGCTGGGAGGCGGGCTCACTGGCCATCCCGGGGGCAGCACGGGCACTCGGGCAGGAACCCCCCAGGAAGTTCGGAAACTTCCTTCCCCAGGATCCCAGCACCCTTCTAGATCCCGTGCAGATTGTCTTTCTGTTAAAGCGCTTTGAGGCCGGGCGGGATGGCTCCCGCCTGTCATCCCAGCACTTTGGGAGTTCGAGGCGGGAGGATCACCTGAGGTCGGGAGTTTGAAACCTGCCTGGCCAACATGGCGAAACCCCGTCTCTACTAAAAATACAAAAATTAGCCGGGCGTGGTGGCGCGTGCCTGTAGTCCCAGCTACTCGGGAGGCTGAGGCAGGAGAGTCGCTTGAACCCGGGAGGTGGAGGTTTCAGTGAGACAAGATCACATCACTGCACCAGCCTGGGCGACAGAGCGAGACTCCGTCTCAAAGAAAAAAAACCCACAAAAAAAACGCTTTGAGAAGCTGCAGAAGCGGCTCTGCCTTTGACCCCGAACGGGCATCTTTACTGGGGTCCATCAGCCCCACAAAGACAGGAAATCTGATGCCAAAAAAAAAAAAAAAAGTCATTCCAGATGTCAGCGAACAGGCGACGCCCCACCCGCCCCGCCCCCGCCCCCCGCCCCGCCCCCGCCCCCTCCCCCGCCCCCGCCCTCCGCTCTCCGCCCCCTCCCCCGCCCCCGCCCTCCGCTCTCCGCCCCACTCCCCGCCCCGCCCTCTTCCCCGCCCCGCTCTCCGCCCCGCCCCGCTCTCCGCCCCGCCCCGCTCTCCGCCCCGCCCCACTCTCCGCCCCGCCCTCCGCCGGCACTAGCCAATCCCCGACGGGCCCGTCTTCCAGCCCCGAAGCGGTCACCTCCTGACCTCTAGTGGCGAACCTGGGGAACTGCGCCCCGGCCCGCCCGCCCGCCCGCCGAGCCCAGGCCGTGCATGCCCTGCCCGTTCTTCGCAAACCGAGTGAACCTCCCGATGCATGGACTCTGGCTGTCGTCGACGCAGACTCTCGTGCACTGCTTAACACCGTTTTGCTACAATGTGACGGCTGCAGACACTGCCCTCAAACTGCAGCCCCACACACAAGTTTTGTACTTTGGTCTGACCTACCCGAAGGTGTCCTTTTGGAGTCTTATTTGTTAATATTTATAATGACATATAATCCAAAGTAAATGGAAACATCATATTGCGATCTCATTGCCTTGGCGAGACGCTCACCTTGTAATAGATTTGAAGGGGGTGGGGGCGGTGGCTCACGCCTGTAAGTCTTAGCACTTTTGGAGGTCGAGGTGGGAGGATTGCTTGAGGCCAGGAGTTTGAGAGCAGCCTGGTCAACATGGAGACACCCTGTCTCCACACACACACACACACACACACACAAAATGACAATTAGCCTGGCATAGTGGCACACACCTGTAGCTCCAGCTATTCGGAAGGATGAGGTAGGAGGAGGAAGATTGCTTGAGCCTGGGAAGTGGGGATTGCAGTGAGCCAAGATCATGCCACTGCACTCCAGCCTGGGCAACAGAGGGAGACCCTGTGGGGGGGTGGGGGGGGAAGGATTTGTAAGGGATGGAGGGGAGGGGGAAAGACGGAGGAAAAGGCAACTGAAACCTACTCCGGATATAGTCTTGTTACTCTTCACCAGGCACCCATTTGAGGTAGGACCTCAAGTTACAGATGGGGAAACTGCGGACCAGAGAGGTTAAAATACTTGTACCGAATCACACGGCTGGTCGATGGCAGAAGCAGAATTCAAACTGAGGCCACCCAAGACTTTTTGCACCAGGACCTGTTGGCCGTGCTGTTGTCCACTCATCCACCAAACAGCTGTGGAGTATTGACTCAAACGCCAGCCCCTGTCTGGGTCTCCAAGGGAGTTAAATGTTGGAAGGTACTTTAAGACACGTATTGTGTAGGTTTTGAGGGGGAGAAAACCTTCCTAACACAGTTTATTGAATAGTTTATTGTACATCATTCTTTAGGTCAGATAGAAACTTCTCAAGAGATACAAGCCTTTGCTTTCTAACATCGACTAACGAAGAAAATGTACTGTGTCACTGAATGTGCAAACCTCTCAATCTCTTTCCTCTATGTCTCCCCTCAGGGTCAGCGTCAGGGTTAGGGTCTAGGATCAGGATTAGGGGTTAGGGGTTAGGGTTAGGGTTCACGCTTGGGGTCGCACTAGGTCCAGGTCTGGGTCTGGGTCAGCGTTTCTCATTTAGTGTTGGGGTTTGGAGTTTGGTTTTGGCTGGGTTAGGGCGGGTTAGGACTCGGGTCATAGTTTTCGGTTGGTGCGGTGGGCATCCCTGCTGTAATTTCCTTTCTGGTTGTCACCGTGACCGTAACCCTAACTCTGGTTCCACTGCTCTCGCCTGTTCAGTTGTCAGGGCTCTTTTCAGGGCTGGCTCCATTCATTGCGCGCTCCTCCTACTTATCTCGCCTGTCCAATCGGCAGAGCTCTCCACCTTCTTGTTCCGCCCTCTTCTCCCTAACATCCAATAGCAGCCTTCTCCGCAGTCCTTGCTCCTACCACTCCTGACTCTTGCCCAATCAGCAGGCTCTACCAATGCTCACTCCGCCCACTTCTCTCTCTTGTCCAATTGGCAGGGTCTCCTCAGTGCTCGCCCCACCCACTTCACGCCTGTCCAATTGCAGGATCTCAGTGCCAGCTCCCCCTGCTTCTCGCTCCTATCCACCCAGCAGGCTCTACCCGGTGCCCACCCTGCCCACTTCTCTTTCTTATATAATGACAGCATCTCCTAGTGCTCACTCCGCCCACTTCTCTCCCCCAGCCAATCCGCGAGCTCTGCCAGTGCGTTGCGTTCCTGTCCTCGGAGGAGGGAGCCCGGGGTCTCTCCGGGAAACGGAAACGCAGGCTGGGGGGTGCGGCTCGTTTCCTTGCGACGCGGGCAGAAGCGCTCTGCCGCCGCGCGGTGGTTTTGTGGGGCAAAGGCAGCGCGGTTCCGCAGGCCCTGACGCTGCAGGGTCTCAGGGGGGCCCCGGGCGCTTTGTCCGGGTGGAGCGGGGCCCGCCCGGCGGGACGTGTGTGCGGCTGCGCAAATGGCCCCAACGGCGCCGCGCGGGCCCGGGAGGGGGCAGTCTGGGGAGGCAGCGGCTGCGGGTCCCGCCCACGCGGAGCGCTCTCTGCCTCTCCGAGCTCTTGCTCCGGACTCGTTCCTTCATCTAGGGCGCCGTGCACCGAGTGCCGTCCCTGCTGTCCGCACACAGTTCGGCTGGGCTCCCGCTCCCTCTCTCGGTGGAATGAGCTGTCACAGCCGCCTCCGCGCGCACCTGTGCCCAAGGAGTGGCAGCTGGGCTGGCTTCATGCCCCGGGAAAGGGATGTTTGGCATCACCAGCGGTTGGCAGACCGGTTGCGCACCTGCTTAGCTGTCAGGCTTATCTGAAGGACAAGTCCTCCTGCCTCCAAACAGCAAAACCTCCAGCGCGGCTGGAAACGGAGCTGTGGCTGCCCATTTGCATTTCGAGGTCACTGTGTGGCAGGGCCAGGAGCTGAGCTGGAGACGACGGCATCGTGTGGCCAGAGGGTTCAGTGAGTATATTTGAGAGGTGAACCAAGCACTAGGTTTTGGGGTGTCTTGGGTTGATAGTAATGGATTGTTGGTTCGGACCAAAGACTAGGCCAAGAAAGAAAGAATACTGGGATGGTCCCGTGGCAACAGCCTTTTCCAGCCAGCAGGGCTGCTCTTGGCTGCTGGGAAGGAGACTGGGACCCGGAGCCTCGCTAAGCCTCCCCTCCCATCTCATCACTTGCAGAGGGACGTGAGGAAAAGGGGCCTCCACAATCGCCAGAGACAATCCAAGGACCGTGGGAGCTGCTGGCCTCAGCCCCGGACTTTCCTGGAGCTGAGACAGTTTCAAAGCCACTGGCTGCCAGGTACTGTCATCCCGTGGCCATGGGACCATCTCACGTGATCAGTTCCTCTCTCTCCTCAGATGGAGACTGGAGCGTGGAGTGGGTGCGGGGGTGCTAGGACCCCGACATGGGGACAAGGTCAGACCCCAGGGAGGGGGAAGTCACCAGCAAGGAGCCCACATCGGGGACCGGGGTCAGGGGGCTTCCTGTGACCCCACACTGCTCCTGCAGCCTGACTCATCACCCGAGTTCATGTCTGCTTTGGAGAATGAGGGGACAGACTTAGAAGGAAACACATGCAGGCCCGACACCTAAAGACAAAGCCAGCTGTCCCTGTGGTTTATTTCTAGTATTTTGTCTGATTGCTTTTCACTGTGATAGCCAAAGTCTCTAGTTCTTAGTCCGTACCAGTGCTGTTTGGACACTCTCCCTGCGCTCCGTGCTCTTCCTATGATGAAGTGAAAACTCGACGTAAGGACAGGAAAAGTGTAGCCTGGCCAGCTGTGGGGCAGAGTTCATGTAGGGTCAGCCCATGGCATGTCTGGCCATCACGCCTTGCTCACTTCTGCTCCTCCTTTTCCTTGTACTGTTATGACATCAGCGTCTCTCCTGACACCACCTGTGCCTGCTGAAATTCAGGCCTGACACTGCCCAGGTGTGTGACCCTAGGCAGGTTCACAAACCTCTCACCTGCAAAATGGGGATGGTGCTAGGACCTGCCATGGGGTGGTTGCAAAGCTTAAGTGGGGGTGGTTAAGAAAAGCCTCGGAGCATCATTGAGACACAGTGAGTATTTGTGGAATATTAATTCTTAATTCTTTAATAATTAATTCCCTAATGAATTATTTAATTGCTTTAGGATCAGTCATCATTTATTCACTCAACTGTTAGGCTCTTAACATTTTCAGTTAGGTTAGGGATAGCATAGGGTGAGGATTGTTAGGGTTAGGGTGGGGATTAAAATTCTTTATGAGATTTGGGTGGGGAAACAGTCAAATCATATCAGTTCAATATTTTATATTAAGAGTTATAGAGGGCCTGGCGCGGTGGCTCAAGCCTGTAATCCCAGCACTTTGGGAGGCCGAGACGGGCGGATCACGAGGTCAGGAGATCGAGACCATCCTGGCTAACCCGGTGAAACTCCGTCTCTACTAAAAGGTACAAAAAACCAGCCGGGCGAGGTGGCGGGCGCCTGTAGTCCCAGCTACTCGGGAGGCTGAGGCAGGAGAATGGCGTGAACCCGGGAGGCGGAGCTTGTAGTGAGCTGAGATCTGGCCACTGCAGTCCAGCCTGGGCCACAGAGCGAGACTCCGTCTCAAAAAAAAAAAAAAAAAAAAAAAAAAGTTATAGAGATGTTGAACTCATATTCCTCATGGAGGTTAAAAACTATATGATGGTGAGAAGTTGTAGTTAGAAAATTTATTTATTCTATAAATTTATCTTAATCCCTTGTACAATAAGGACCCATATTCACTAAACTGAAATGAAATATTCTGAGAACAGTGTGGTGTGACTAAGCTATTACCATACCAGCTCATTTAACCCTTACCAACCAATAACTCTAGTGCCCACATTTTACTCATGAGGAAACTGAAAATTAGAAAGTAAAATATCTTGCCTAGGCTCCCAGCTAGCAAGTGACCTATCCCAGGCTTGAGTCCAAAATTATCTACTGACAGATCTGAAGTCTTGGACTTTCAATTACTATTCCTATTCAAGTCTATCATTTCGGATGTATTACCTGAGTGACAGGGTGAGACCCTGTCTCAAACAAAAAAGCAAACCCAAAAAGTTGGCTTGTGAAAAGGAGGAAAACTAGTTTTATGTGGTGTCATCAAGAAGTGAGAAAGGAAAATGTCTTTTTTTTTTCTTTTTTTTTTTTTTGAGACAGAGTCTCGCTCTGTGGCCCAGGCTGGACTGCAGTGGCCAGATCTCAGCTCACTGCAAGCTCCGCCTCCCGGGTTCACGCCATTCTCCTGCCTCAGCCTCCCGAGTAGCTGGGACTACAGGCGTCTGCCACCTCACCCGGCTAGTTTTTTGTATTTTTTTTAGTAGAGACGGGGTTTCACCGTGTTAGCCAGGATGGTCTCGATCTCCTGACCTCGTGATCCGCCCGTCTCGGCCTCCCAAAGTGCTGGGATTACAGGCTTGAGCCACCACGCCCGGCCAAGGAAAATGTCTTGATCGTAGAGCATGATCTGATACTTTAAAAGTTGCTGAGAGGTCAAATAATGAAGGCAGATGAGGCCTTTTGAGCTTACTGGTGACCTTCATATGAGCAATTTCACTGTTGGAGTAAGGTGAAGCCATGTTGGTGTTCAATTACTCAATATTATTCAAAATCCCTTCATCCTAAAAACTTTCAATAAACTAGGTATTGATGGAACATATCTCAAAATAATAAGAGCTATTTATGACAAACCCACAGGCAATATCATACCGAATGGACAAAAGCTGGAAGCATTCCCTTTGAAAACTGGCACAAGACTCCTATTCAACATAGTATTGGAAGTTCTGGCCAGGGCAATCAGAGAAAGAAATAAAGCATATTCCTATAGGAAGAGAGGAAGTCAAATTATCTCTGTTTGCAGATGACATGATTGTATATTTAGAAAACCCCATTGTCTCAGCCTAAAAACTCCTTAAGCTGATAAGCAACTTCAGCAAAGTCTCAGGATACAAAATCAATGTGCAAAAATCACAACCATTCGTATACATCAGTAGACAAACCAAGAGCCAAGTTATGAGTGAACTCGATTCACAATTGCTACAAAGGGAATAAAATACCTAGGAATACAACTTACAAGGGATGTGAAGGACCCCTTCAAGGAGAACTACAAACCACTGTTCAAGGAAATAAGAGAGGACACAAAACAATGGAAAACCATTTCATGCTCATGGATAGAATCAATATTGTGAAAATGGCCATATTACCCAAAGCAATTTATAGATTTAATGATATTCCCATCAAGCTTCCAGTGACTTTCTTCACAGAATTAGAAAAAGCGACTTTAAATTTCATATAGAACCAAAAAAGAGCCCATGTAGGAAAGACTAACCTAGGCTAAAAGAACAAAGCTGGAGGCATCATGCTACCTGACTTCAAACTATACTACAAGGCTACAGTAACCAAAACAGCATGGTACTGATACCAAAACAGAGATATAGACAAATGAAACAGAACAGAGATCTCAGAAATAACACCATACATCGACAACCATCTGATCTTTGACAAACCTGACAAAAACAAGCAATGGGGAAAGGATTCCCTCTTTAATAAATGGTGCTGGGGAAACTGGCTAGCTATATTCAGAAAGCAGAAACTAGACCCCTTTCTCACACCTTATGCAAAAAGTAATTCAAGATGGATTAAAGACTTAAATGTAAAACCCAAAACCATAAAAACCCTAGAAGAAAACCTAGGCAATACTATTCAGGATGTAGGCATGGGCAAAGACCTCATGACTACAACACCAAAAATAATTGCAACAAAAGCCAAAATTGACAAATGTGATCTAATCAAACTAAAGAGCTTCAGCACAGCAAAATAAACTATCATCAGCGTGAACAGGCAACTTACAAAATGGGAGAAAATTTTTGCAAGCTACCCATCTGACAAAGGTCTAATATCCAGAATCTACAAGGAACTTAAATTTACAAGAAAAACAACCCCATCAAAAAGGGGGCATATCGCATCAAAAAGGAGGCAAAGGATATGAACAGACACTTCTCAAAAGAAAACATTTATGCGACCAACAGACACATGAAAAAAAGCTCGTCTCTGGTCACTAGAGAAATGCAAATCAAAACCACAATGAGATACCATCTCACACCAGTTAGAGTGGTGATTATTAAAAAGCCAGGAAACAACAGATGCTGGCGAGGCTGTGGAGAAATGGGAATGCTTCTACACTGTTGGTGGGAATATAAATTAGTTCAACCATTATGGAAGTCAGTGTAGTGTTTGACCCAGCAACCCCATTACTGGGTATATACCCAAAAGATTATAAATCATTGTACTATGAAGACACATGCACACGTATGTTTATTGCAGCACTATTTACAATTGCAAAGATTTGGAACCAAACCAAATGCCCATTAATGATAGACTGGATAAAGAAAATGTGGCACATATACACCATGAAATAATATGCAGCCATAAAAAAGAATGAGTTCATGTCCTTTGCAGGGACATGGATGAAGCTGGAAACCATCATTCTCAGCAAACTGGCACAGGAACAGAAAACCAAACACCACATGTTCTCACTCATAAGTGGGAATTGAGCAATGAGAACACATGGACACAGGGAAGGAAATATCACACACTGGGTCCTGTTGACGGGTTGGGGGCAAGGGGAAGGAGAGCATTAGGACACATAACTAATGCATGTGGGATTTAAAGTCTAGATGACAGGGTGATGGGTGCAGCAAACCACCATGGCGCGTGTATATGTATGTAACAAATCTGCACATTCTGCACATGTATCCCAGAGCTTAAAGTAAAAAAAAAAAAAAAAGCCGGAAAAAATTGAATAAAGCTTTGAAAAATTCAGGAAAGAAAAGTTTTTATTTATGAGAAATTATTTTTTAAATGACTGAAAACACCCAAATCTGAGGAAATACATGAGGGTCGGTGACCTTGAAGAAGGATGCACTCAAAGGACGAACATTATAGTCAATCATTGAAACACAATGATAAAGTGAGAATTTTGAAGAGAGAAGCAACACATCAGTAAGATTAACAGCTGGTTTCTCCTCAGAAACTGTGGAGGTCAGAAGGCAGTGTGATGACATATTTAAAGTCCTCAAAGGAAAAGAAAAACAAATGGTCAGCCGTGAATTCTATATTTTGCAAAATTACCTTTCAAGAATGAAGGAGAAATTAAGAAATATCCAGATAAACAAAAGCTGAGGGAGTTCATTACCAGTAGTCCTGCTTGTCAAGCACTGCTAAAGGGGCTCCTTCAAGTTGAAATTAAAGGACATTAGACAGTAAGTTGAAGCTGTAGTAAAAAAATAACAATAGTAGAGGTAACTTTATAGGTAAATATAAAAGCCAGGATTATTACATTTGGGGTTTGGCTTATAACTTCTCTCCTTTTCTAATATTACTTAAAAGGTATATGCATAAAACAATAATAATAAATCTATGTTACTGAGCATATAGTGAGTTGAGATGCAATCTGTGACAATAATAACATAAAGGGGGAGGGACAGAGATGTATAGGAGCACAGTTTTGTATGCTGCGGAAACAAAGTTGGCATTATTCAAATTAGACTTATCAGTTTCAAATGTTAATTGCAATGCCCAAGGTTACAACTTATGTAAACGAAAATATACAGCAAAAGAAAGAAGGATATCAAAATGTTACACTACAAAAAGTTAGCTTAAAAGGGAGTAATGGGGGAATTAAGTAGCATAAAGCATGTAGGACATATAAGAAAAAACAGTTAAATGACCAAAGTACATTTTTCTTTGTCAATAATCACATTAAATGCAAATGGATTAAACTCAGTAGCAGAGATTGGGAGCTCAGATTAAAGAGACTACATCCATCTATAAATATATGCTACCTGAAAAGACTCACTTTAGATATAAGGTCATAAGAAGGCTAAAAGTGTAATTATGGAAAAAGTTATTCCATGAAAATGTTAATCAAATGAGAGCTAAGGTGACTATTTATTGGCCTGCAAAATAGATTTTAAATTTTTAAAAGTTTATGATATTAAAAGGTTCTGTTTTGCAAGAAGATATAACTATAATAAAACTATACATAACTAACAACAGAGTCCCAAAATATATGCAGCAAAAATGGACAGCAGTGAAGGGAGATATAGACGGTTAAACAATCATTGTTGAAGACTTCAGTACTCTACGTTCAGTAATAAATATGACAACACAACAAAAGATCAGTAAGGAAATAGAGAACTTGGTCAGCACTATATACCAAATAGACTTCACAGACATACGCAGAACAGCAGAATAGCAGCAGAATACACATTCTTCTGAATGGCACATGGAATATTCTCCAGGATAAACCATATGTTAGGCTATAAAATAAGTCCTAATACATTTTAAAAGATTGAAATATTTCCAGATATATATTTTTTTATCACAATGGAATGAAAGTAGAAATCAACAAAAGAAGAAAAGCTGCAAAAACCATAAATATGTGACAAATAATACATTCTTAAATGTGACTCAAGGAAAAATATTACAAAGTTAGAAAATAAATGGTGAAAAGCAAAAATGAATATATAATACACCATAACGTATGAGTGTTCAGGACATTTATAATCATAAATGTCTACCTCAAAGAATACAGATATTAAGTCAGAAACGTAATTTTTATATTTTTATTTCTATTTTTATTTTTTTTGAGACGGAGTCTCGCTCTGTCGCCCGGGCTGGAGTGCAGTGGCCGGATCTCAGCTCACTGCAAGTTCCGCCTCCCGGGTTTAAGCCATTCTCCTGCTTCAGCCTCCCGAGTAGCTGGGACTACAGGCACCTGCCACCTCGCCCGGCTAGTTTTTTTTTTGTATTTTTTAGTAGAGACGGGGTTTCACCGTGTTAGCCAGGATGGTCTCGATCTCCTGACCTCGTGATCCGCCTGTCTCGGCCTCCCAAAGTGCTGGGATTACAGGCTTGAGCCACCGCACCTGGCCCCATATAAGGAATTCTAAATATTACAGTACACTAAACCCAAACCTAGCAGAAGAAAGGAAATAACAATTAGAGCACGTCAGGTTTTTGTATCCGTTCAAACGCTGAAAGCGTGACAACAGACAACGCGAGGCAGTGTGCACAAGGTGGTGTGCACAAACATGCTGCTTGCTTTTTTTTTTAGACGGAGTCTCGGAGTCTCGCTCTGTCACCAAGGCTGGAGTGCAAAGGCGCAATGTCGGCTCACCGCAACCTCTGACTCCCAAGTGCAAACAATCCTCCTGCCTCAACATCCTGAACAGCTGGGACTACAGGTGCCTTCCCCCATGCCTGGTAATTTTTTGTATTTTTAGTAGAAAGGGGTTAGGGTTAGGTGTTAGCAGTTAGGGTCTGGGTTAGTGTTGAGGGTGAAGGCTAGGGTTCAGGGTTGGGGGTTAGCAGTTCAGGTCAAGGTTAAGGCTTAGGGTCAGGGTTCTTGGTCAGCGTTAGGCTTTACGGTTGGGGGTCAGGGTTTGGGGTCAGGGTGAAGGCTAGGGTTCAGGGTTGGGGGTTAGCAGTTCGGGTCAAGTTTAGGGTTTAGGGTCAGGGTTTGTGGTCAGCATTAGGCTTTAGGGTTGGGGTCAGGGTTTGGGGTCAGGGTCAGGGTCAGGGTTAGGGTTAGGGGTTAGAGTTAGGGTTAGAGGGTTAGGGTTAGGGTTTAGGTTAGGGTTAGGGTTAGGGTTACAGGGTTAGGGTTAAGGGTTAGGTTTAGGGTTAAGGGTTAGTTTTAGGGTTAGGGTTAGGGGTTAGGGTTAGGGTTATGGTTAGGGTTAGGGTTGGGTTAGGGTTAGGGGTTAGGGTTAGAGTTAGGGTCAGGGTCAGGGTCAGGGATTAGGGTTAGGGGTTAGGGTTAGGGTTAGGGTCTGGGTTAGGGGTTAGGGGTTAGTGTCAGGGTGAGGGTGAGGGTGCGGGTCAGGGTTTAGGGTTAGGGTTAGGGTTTGGGTTAGGGTTAGGGTTGGTTAGGGTTAGGGTTAGGGTTAGGGGTTAGGGTTAGAGTTAGGGGTAGGGTTAAGGGTTTAGGGTTAGGGTTAGGGTTTTAGGGTTAGGGTTAGTGTTAGCAGTTAGGGTTAGGGTTAGGATTAGGGTTAGGGTTTGTGTTAGGGTTTGGGTTTGGGTTAGGTTAGCGTTAGGATTAGTGTTAGGGGTGGGACAGGGCTTCGTCCCTCAGCTCACCTGAGACATGTACCTATATGATTGCTTCCTCTGCGCTGTGTAGAATGCAGCTTCACTGAGCCACACTAAGGTGTAAGTCACTATTCCTCTACCTCCACTCACAAGTCAATTGTTTATTCACCGAAAGGCTTATGAAAGACTCAAAACAATGCAATCCGTTGTCTCTTGTCCACCTATAACCTGGGAGGCCCCCACCTTTGTGTTTTCCTGCGTTTCCAGATGGAACTCTGTTTTCGAAAAACAAGCAAACAAACAAAATGTGGTTTTGAGACATTTGGATGTGGGAGTTCTTCTTGCAGGCCAGATGTCAGACCCTTGCCTGAGACGGCGGTGGGGCCACCAAGGAGATGGTGGCCCTCATGCTGCCCCAGTCTCACTCCTACAGGCTCACCCCCAATCTGGCCCACGATGCATTGCGACTACAGAGAAGTGGGACACACTCACTTTAGGTACTGCTGATACTCACGCGCATTCTTCCCATGAGCAGCATGAACGTTGACCAGCTCCAGCGTAATGAGGAACAGGATCAGGCTGAGCACAGGGGACAGTAGTCTGATACTAAAAACAGATGAAAGGAAATTCAAACGTGAGGAATGTTGGTATTTTCCACCTTCATCCGGAAAAAGATGTTTCACCTCATCAGCATCCTTAAGTCCCAACTTCTCAAAAATAATTTTCCTAATCCTCAGAGCCCAATGCCTGCTTCCAGCCCCCAGGCCCGTGGCTGGCGGGAGTGCCCCATGTAGCCCTTGCTCCTGGCCCATCCTGCACGTCCACATTCCTTGCTCATCAGTCATCATCTGAGACTCTCAGACATCTGACGGTCTACGTCAGCGCTGCCAGGGCCTCTGCACACTCACGGGGCACCAGGCAGGCCCAGTCTGCGCCCAGCAGCCCCCCTGCGCCCTGCCGTCTGACATCTAGGGAGGGACTCTCACCAGAGGAAAACAAATGGCCTCAATACGAAAGCAGGCTCAATGCCAGCAGATTAAAGAAATCCCAACTAAAGTAAGATCTTATTTTTCCCATGAAACTAGTTGAGACATTTAAAAATATTCTGGTTTTGGAGAGTGGTAATAAGAGAATGACCTTGTCTTATAAACTGCTGGTAAGAGTATAAATTGAGTAGCACCCTTCTGGAGGGGAATTCAGTGATATCTATTTAAAGCTTTAAAAACACAGATACCACTCAACCCAAAAGTTCTAGAAATGTATCCAAAATGGTCATTTCTTAAGGATGTAGCACATTCTAAAATATACACTGTAAGTGAAGGAACCATAATGCTGTTAATCTGCTGTTAAGTTAATCTGCTGTTATATTTTAAATCCAAATCCAGTTAATCTGCTGTTATACTTTAAATCCAAATATTCATTTAGGTAGATAGAACCCACATTTCCATAGGCCAAATTACAAACACTATTTAAAATAGTATGTACTATAACTTTCTATGAAAATCAGCATGGGGAGTCCTCACAGTCCTCAGATAACATCATTTCATTCAACACCGTTTCATCACAACATCAGTGAGAAAAGAAATCGATACACCGTGAGGGCCACGGTCTGTGTGGAGAAGCACGTTCTGCATGGGTTTTCTCCCATCCCCCAGTTTCCTCCCACATCCCAGAGCCGTGCACATTAGGTGAACTGGCGCATCTCCATGGTCCCAGAGTGAGTGTGGGTGTGTGACTGGCCCTGCGAAGGAACCACGTCCTGTCCAGGGTGGGTCCTGCCTTGTACCCGGAGCTGCCGGGATAAGCTCCAGCCACCCACAACTCTGAACTGGAATGAACAGGTTGGAAAATGAATGAATGAATGAATACAAATTATAAGAACTTGTAAAGTCTACCATCATCATACAAGTGCTCGACAGTGCGTGCCGGTACAAAAGTGCTCAGTGACCCACACATTTGTTCCTGTTGGTGCTGGAGCTGTGGGTGGGGGGAAGGGGACGGGCCTGGGGAGGTCTCGCTCTGCAAACATTTACTGCCTCATTTAACCACCACAGGACTGCTGGACTGCTGTCACTCACTGCCTCGCCAAACAGTGAGTAGTTCTCACTTGTTTTTATTCATCTTTCTTAAATGTCCATAGAGCTCATATGTACCTCAATGTTTAACACTGTAAGTGTTTTGGGTCTTTCTTTAGAAGTTTGGTAATATTTTTATGACCAGAAACATGCTGTGGGAACTTAACTTTTGTTTCCACTGTGCAAGGAAAATAAATCTCAGTACCCCAAACTCACTAAGCCAAAGGGAAAAGTCAAGCTAGGAACTGCCTCAGGCAAACCTGCCTCCCATTTTATTCCTAAATAAGGTGGCTACAAGAGAAAAAAGCTACATACAGACCTCCCTCACAGTTTGTCCACAAGGAAATGCCTCGTGGGCCTCAAGATCTCTACCCAGAAAGACTTCTGCTGAATTTCACCCTGGCAATGCAGTTGCCAGCTGATCTTCCCAGGGGTGGGACAGGGCGTCATCCCTCAGCTCACCTGAGACAAATACCTATATGATTGCTTCCTCTGCCCTGTGTAAAATGCAGCTTCACTGAGCCACACTAAGGTGTAAGTCACTATTCCTCTACCCCCACTCACAAGTCAATTGTGTATTCACCGAAAGGCCTATGAAAGACTCAAAACAATGCAATCCTTTGTCTCTTGTCCACCTATAACCTGGAAAGCCCCCACCTTTGTGTTTTCCTGCCTTTCCCCAAGTACCTGGGGCACATGCTGTCAGGATCTCCTGAGGCTGTCACAGCACGTCCTTAACCCTGGGAAAGTAAACTTTCTAAAAGGATTGAGACCTGTCTCAGATACGTTGGGTTCATACTCTCAGTTGTGAACTCCAAGTATATCAACACCTGTCGATGGGTTTAGTGAGGGGCCTATTGTGTGTGTCTTCAGTGGGGACTGGAACTGCATCTGTGACGACTTCCTGCCCCACAGTGCCCCTCCAAAACAGGAAAGTGAGCGCACACCTACTCCATATACGCAGGTAGTTCTGCCGCTGGCAAGACCGCAACATCCTCTCCACCCACTGCCTGTGTCTCAGCTCCGAGGCAATGGTGACCTGGCCAGACACGTGGTGACACTGCTTGCCGATGCTTTGGAGCACAACCAGCACTTCCAGCACAATCCTGGGGCAGAAGAGGGTAGGAAAGGGTGTGCTGCAGAGCTCACGGAGCAGCTGGGGCCACCTGCAAACAGAGCCAGACTTGGAGCAGGCATTGTGATCCTCACCTGTACCTCACTCTCCTTCTGTACCTGCAAGGCTGCGGCTTTCTGGGAGCCAGGGCTAGCTGCGTATCACTGGTGGGTCTGCAGGGACAACCGTGACATGCGGCAAGTGTTAATTAAATACACTGAATTGTGGCAAACAGAATGTGACATTCACAGCCTCATCAGCTGTGCCACGCTTGCACAGAGATTGTCAAAACTGATCTCATAATTCCTCTTGGAGCAGTAACAGTGGGATTCTAAGACTACTTTATAAAATCTAAAACATAGAAAATGTCTAAGTTTGCTATGCTAATCTGCAGAATCAATGTTTCAACAGTTGTCAGGATGTCCTGGAACTTACGTCTCAGTAGGAAGATGATCCAAGTCCTTTAAAACACAATGATTCTCAGGCACATGGTGATACAGCTCATCCGTCATTTTTGTAATTAAAGAGTGGCTGGCATTTGTTTCAGAATTATCTTCTAATCTGAAAAATAGAAAATATTTAAAGATACATGACAATTAAAATGCCCACATTAGTGCCCATGCACAATAATGGTTAATGGTTCACTGAGCAGCAACCTGACTGTGAATCTTAGTTTCCCCAAATATAAAATGTAAAAAGCCACCATCACGGGACAGTGGAGAAAGAAACGATGCCCTATGCCAAAAGCAAAGTCCAATGATGACTGATGATGAGACGATGAACCACCTGCGTATTCTTCCTGCTGAACAAGTATGTCTGCTGTTGTCTACGATTCCAGAATGCATGCCTCCATCCCCACTTCTCTCCTGAGCTTCAGACCCATCTTTCTTCCTGCCTACTCAGTAGTTCTCATGGACGCCATTGTCTACCCACAAAACCTGCCTCTCGTTCCATGTTCAGTCTCCACCAGGGCCCCAGGCCAGCTGGAAGATCGCATTCAGCATCACTTGCAGCTCCTCACAGCCACCAAGGCCCAGAAATTCCTCCTTCCCCTTTTATCTTCCAACAGCCTCGCTAAAGAAGAAATGCTGCTGAAACTAACAGTACCAGACAAGCTTGAGGTCAGCCAGGCCCCAGGATGCCACGTACCTGACTGCTTCCCAACTGAGTTCTTTGGGGAAAGGCAGCAGAGCCCAAACCCTGATACTCTCCTCACAGCTCAGCACCTGGGATGAAATGTTTTATTGACTTTGTAGATTTCACGGTAACTTCCTAGAAAATCTGTTTTTAGATTATTATGGATGTTACATCACTCTCTAGAAAATACGTATCTATAAAATTATTACAAATTCTAAACATTTTAAAACCAGAGGGCGGGTGTCAGTTCTTCACTACAGATGGGGGAAGGCTGGGGAAACCACCAGGGGATTGGTAGGGAGTGAACGTCTGGGATGGCTATGACCATATTCACAGGTTCTTTCGACACCTGCCATTGAGAGGGAGGACCCCACCAAATCTGCACGAGCTCTGGTGACTGGCCTGGAACCAGCAGAACACAGCAGGTGTGAAGATGCTGCACGTTATGCAAAGCCATGTCAGAGGCGCAGGTGCCTCTCCAGTTCAGGCCGCGCTCGGGGTGCAGCCGCTGTCACCTTGAGACTGTCCCTGCAGGACCCCCATGAGGCCTCTGGCCAACTTCCAGTCTTCTCAGACGCAACATCCACGAAGCCCTGGGGGACCACAGCCGTCCACACCCAGGCCAGGCCACAGGACAGATCCCTCGGCAGATGCTCCCCATTTCTAACCCACTAGCACATGAGCAAGTCAAACGTGGCTGCTGACACCATGGAGCGTGAGTGGTCTCAACAGCAGGAATAACCGAAGCCCAGGATGCAAAGCTGCCTGAATACCTGTGAGATGCCAGGAGGGGGACAGGAAGTGGTAAGGACCCAAATAGCCACCGTGGGGCACGGGAGAGGATGGTCTGGAGCCTCAGCAGCTCTGGTTGGAAGACAAAGGCTGCCTTCTTGAAGCTCCTCTTCCTTCCTAAATCTTCCCTCCTCCACCTTCCTAAGGGCTTGCACTTGGAAAGCATGGCAATCCCCACTGGTAAAGCTGGTCTGCGGCGCCAACGGGGAATGGCATCCGACCAGTGCAGCCCGATGCTCTGCCTCCAAGCCACACCTCCAGGAGGCTGTTTTCCCAACTTCACTGCTGACAACCCCCTTCTGACAGTATTTTCCTGAAGGCATTCTCAAGGAGGCCTCCGACTTCTCAAGGCACCATTTCCTTAAAGCGCCTTTGCAAATCTCTCCTGACCCGCTGTGTGTTGATTTTACAGCTTCCTTTTAGAGGTAGTCTCATTTATGAATTTTCACCTGCACAGCTGTCACGATGCTTATATTCTTGGGGACTGTCTCTTTCATCCCCTTGCACTACCCTTGTATCCTCCCGTATGTAGAATAAAACACCTTCGCTGATTGCCAAATTGGAACTTCCTGGCAGAAATGCTTAAAAAATTGTTTGTTTCAGTAAGTTAACAAAAGCTAGTCCGTGTAGGAGAAGAAAAACTGACATTACTCACCACTGACAAATAAAAACTGCTCCCAGCTCTGCGTTACTGCCTACAGCAATAAAAGCCTGCCAGGGGATTCAGCAAAAACACTTCCCAGTGCTCATCCATTTAACACTAAAAACCTCAGTGCCATCAGCACTGCATTACTTTCAACTGCGAGACACGGAACTTGAGGCTCAGAAGACTGAGCAACCCAGGCCAGGGCCACTGCAAGCACCACGCTGGCTAGAAAGCTGGATCTGCCCAACTCAAAGTCTGACTCAGCAGGCAAACTGCACCCTTCCAGCATCTCTGCAAAAGACAGGTGGTTTCAGAGACGTACACAGCCCTCCCAGCACCCTGCATTCGGCATACCTGTTTTTTAAGCTGAAAAACCGGATGGCAGCGAGAACTATAGTCTTCTGCAAGACTAATCAACAATTCTACTGCTGCTTTTTCCTAGTTTAGAGAAAACAGTGGCTACTATCGTGTTTGGGTAGACTTAGTTTTCTTCTATTGAACTGTAGGCCAATTAGAGTCCCCATTTCTCATTATCTTTCTTCAAACAATTTTTTGCAGCTAGAAAAGTAAACGCTTCACTAAAATAGGTTTCACATGGCAAGGAAATCACAGCCAATAAAATGATTTTAAATGGAGGCCATTAACAATAATAGATCACAAATGCCACACCCACCCTCTGTGCACAAAACTGGAGATGAATAAGAAAAAAAGGATTCCAAACAATTGGAAATTTAACTAGGAAATAGTTACTTAAACACTAAAAAGCAATACAACTAAAAAACAATACAACTAAAAAAAATCACATAATCATTTAATTGCTAAGCACATACATATTTTTACAAGTATAAAATTACATCATTTGAAGCTGATATAACCACATAACTTAAAAATCCAAGTCAGTCAACTGAAACCTATGAGAAACAAAGTCAGTGAATTGATAGTTGACAAATTAAAAAATCTGTAACTACCTACAATTCTTTTTTCTTTTCTTTTTCTTTTTCTTTTTTTTTTTTTTTTGAGACACAGTCTTACTCTTTTTGCCCAGGCTGGAGTGCACTGGTGCGATCTCAGCTCACTGCAACCTCTGCCTCCCAGGTTCAAGTGATTCTCCAGCTTCAGGCTGCTGAGTAGCTGGGATTACAGGCACCCACCACCACGTCTGGGTAATTTTTTTGTATTTTTATTAGAGACGGGGTTTCACCACGTTTGGCCACACTGGTCTTGAACTCCTGACCTCAGGTGAACCACCTGCCTCGGCCTCCCAAAGTGCTGGGATTACAGGTGTTAGCCACTGCACCCGGCCCGCTACCTACAATTCTTAAAAGCACAAAACAAACAACTCAAGTAGCTAGATGTTAACTATGGAAGAAATGTGCTGGCCTTCCCTTCACTCAGATGTGTGAGAGCCTGGAGTGCACTAGGGAGTGTGCTGGGCAGAACACGGGAGGCACACACATGTGCCTGCACGGGTGATGTCCCCACAGGGCAGACCCACACGCAGCATATGTGTGCCACTGCAGAGCAGCGTATGTATCCCACTGCAGAGCGGCATATGTGTGCCACTGCAGAGCAGTATATATATCCCACTACAGAGCGGCATATGTGTGCCACTGCAGAGCAGTGTATGTATCCCACTGCAGAGCGGCATATGTGTGCCACTGCAGAGCAGCGTATGTATCCCACTGCAGAGCGGCATATGTGTGCCACTGCAGAGCAGCGTATGTATCCCACTGCAGAGCGGCATATGTGTGCCACTGCAGAGCAGCGTATGTATCCCACTGCAGAGGTGTATGTGTGCCACTGCAGAGCAAGCCTACATATCCCACTGCAGAGCGGTGTATGTGTGCCACTGCAGAGCAGCGTATATATCCCACTGCAGAGCGGCGTATGTGTGCCACTGCAGAGCACCTGGCTTCTGTTCCAAGACATGAACCCATCTGAGGGCTTCTGAGGAGAGGATGACATGTTGGGGAAGGATCAGTCTGGCTGCTGTGTTATGACAAGGGGAAGGGCTCGCAGAAGTCGGTGGGCAGACCAGTCAGTACCAGCGACATTCCAAGGAGGGACCAAGGCGGTATGGCCAGGTGGTGGCACAGGAGGGACAGAAAGAAGCAGATGTGGAACATATTTCTTTTTTTTTCTTTTTCTTTTTTTGAGACGGAGTCTTGCTCTGTCATTCAGGCTGGAAAGCAGTGGCACAATCTCGGTTCACTATAACATCTGCCTTATGTGTTCAAGCTATTCTCAGGACTACAGGCACCCACCACCATGCCCAGCAAGTTTTTGTATTTTTAGTAGAGACAGGGTTTCACCATGTTGGCCAGGCTGGTCTCGAACTTCTGACCTCAGGTGATCCACCTGCCTTGACCTCCCAAAGTGCTGGGATTACAGTCATGAGCCACCGTGCCTGGACTGTGGAACATATTTCTAAAACCTGTTCCAAGGACGGAGTATGAAGAGAGGAGAGGAATCTGAGGCTTCCAACTGAGCAGCCACCTGGGAGGCTGGAGGTGCCACGTAGATGGAGGACTTGAGGAATGAAGATGCAGAGACACTGTGTCCCTGAATAAGCTTCAATATTGTGAAAAATGTCAATTATCCCTAACTCAATCCATGAGGTGTTCTTATTTGTTTTTGGGGTTTTATGTTTGTCCAAGTTTACACAGAATAATAACTATTAATTTTTTTTAAAGTAAAGCTAGACTCTGTACCTTACTCTCAAGATGAAATAAATTCCAGTTGGATCCAAAGACGTAAATGGAAAAATAAAGAAAAAATAGGTAGGGCACGTTGGCTCATGCCTGTAATCCCAGCACTTTGGGAGGCTGAGGCGGGTGGAACATAAGGTCAGGAGTTCAAGACCAGTCTGACCAACATGATGATACCCCGCCTCTATTAAAAATACAAAAAAACTAGCCGGGCGTGGTGGCAGGCACCTGTAATCCCAGCTACTCGGGAGGCTGAGGCAGAGAACTGCTCGAACCCAGGAGGCAGAGGTTGCAGTGAGCTGAGATTGTGCTACTGCACTCCAGCCTGGGTGACAGAGTGAGACTTTGTCTCAAAAAAAAAAAAAAAAAAAAAAAAAAAGAAAAAGAAAAAATAGAAGTACCAGAGAAAATGTATACCTATATTTTTAATTTTGAAAAGCAAAGATTCTTTTCAGAATGACTCCAAATGTGAAGCCAGAGAAAAAAAAAAATCAAAACCTATGAACAAATAACAAAGCAATATGTACACAAATAAGGCTAATGAACCAGTGGGAAAAATGAAACTGAAATAAATGGAGAAAATACATTAATAGGCAATTAATGAAATAATTATAAACATCTAGTAAACATAAAAAAAGAATGAAAATAAAAACATAATCTTGGCTGGATATGATGGCTCGCGCCTGTGGTCCCAGCTACTCAGGAGGCTGAGGCAAGAGGATGGCTTGAGCCCAGGAGGTCGAGGCTATCATAAGCCATGACTGCACCACTGCACTCTAGCCTGGGCGACAGAGCGAGACCCTGTCTCATAAAAAAAAATAAATAAATAAAAGAAAAGAATTTTAAAAACCTTATTGATATCTTTTGTCTTAGAACTTTACTTTTTAAGAGTATTTACATAAGTGCCCAAATGAACAAAGATGTTCATTTCAGCATAATAATTAGGAATTTTCTACATCAGGAACATTACAACTCATCCATCAATGAAGGACTGCTTAGGTAAATAATAACATATTGATAAAATGGAATATCAAACAGCTGACAAAAAGAATAAGGCAGAACAAAGATGCCAAAAACACACTGTTAATGAAAAATGCTAGCTATAAAACACAACGTACCTTCCTACGAACTCACTTTGGTACACTCATAGCAAAAATGTGGTAGCAACACTACCTAATTATTAACAGTAGTTATTTCTGGGAGATGGAATTCTTGAGGGCTGTTACTTTTCACATTAGTTTTTCTATTTCTAGTAATTTTTCTTTGAACATTTAAACATTTTAAAATAACTGTCAAATGTATAATTGAAAAAAAGATTAAAATGTCAATAACAAATATTCTAACCTAAATTATTTACTTTGAAATAATAAAAGAATTAGTTTATTGATGATGCAAATATCCTACCCCATCGATGCAGCAAACATCTGTAAAAATTTCCTAATATTTGGTTAATCCTGTTTTATAATTTGCTCTTTGATTTTCAATACTTAGCTGCTGTTACATACAAAAGCAAATGTGTTTTTAAGAAACAAGTTAAATTATTTTAGCTAAGATTAATATTGATTGATCTGTGATAGAGAATATAAACTTATGTGTAATCCAGTCACTTTTTTTTCTGATGGAGGATACTGTAACTCAGATATACTAAAAGATGATTAATAGTTAATTACATTTGAAAAATAAACTATATCCTTTCATAGCTGAATGAGTTAATCTAATTAATGATTTTCTTCCCTGTAAATTACCTTAAAAACTGATAGTAGACCTTCATCAACAGATCTGAGTAACAGTACAACAGAAAATGCAAGCAACTGATTAGTTGTTTCTTTTGAAAATTCATGTAAGTTGATCTCCCCGTGGCTTAAATGATCTCTTATGCGGGGACCCTCCTGATGGTTCAGGAAATCCCAGAGAAATTCCTTTCAGAAATTAAACAGAGAAAATGTTTTGTTAGTATCCGCAGCAGAGAGCCGTGCCTGGTGTTGCTAACAGAAGGAAAGAGTGAATCCATCAAGTCCTCTGAAGCCCTGGGTGGGACCCTGCTGCGGAGAGCTGTTCTCCTACACCCACGGGACAGAAAAGGGAGCTGGAGAGACTGTGGGGAAGGCAGAGCTGCCCAGGTGGTACTGGAGTCTCATCAAATTCCAGTCTTTCTTGTTTTCACAAGGGGTGCCTCACAATATCGCAGTTGGTTGTACACCCCCTGCAGTACAAAGAATAATATTCTCTTCTCTTCCTTTAGCTCTTGAGAACAATATCACATGGCGGGGGGACACCCCCTGCACTATTGGAAGTAATATCATTCTCTCTTATTCTCGATAGTAGGAACAATATCTCAGGCGGGATGGACAACCCCTGTGATACTGAGAGTAATATCATCCTCTCCCAACGAAGATATTAGGAACCATATCACAGGGGGCGTGTACACTTCTTCGATATTGGTAGCGATATCATCCTCTCCTCCCTGGGTATAGGAAACAATGTGAAGGCGGGGTGGACCCCCCCCCCACGTCTTGGGGAGTAATTTCCCTCCCTGGATATTAGGATCCACGGTGGACACACAGCGTGTTTACGATTCTGAGAGTAATATCATCTCCCCCTCTAGACATTACGAACAGTATCAAAGACGGGTGTACACCCTCTGCAATATAGGGAGGAATATCATCCTCTCCCCGCCTGGATATTAGGAACAATATCAAAGGAGTGTTTATGACCCCTGCGATATTGGGAGTAATATCATCCTCTCCCAGGTGGAAATTAGGAACAGCATCACCGGGGGCGTGTACACCCCTGCGATATTGAAAGTCGTATCATCCTCTCCCCTCTTGGATCATGGGAACAACATCCCTGGGGGGTGTACACTTTCTGCGATATTGGGAGTAACATCATCTTCTGTGCCTTGGAATATTCAGGATAATATCACGGGGGAGGGGGTGTGTACATCTTCTGCAATATTGGGAATATTATCCTCTCTACCCCTGCAAATTCGGAAAGATATCACAGAGTGGGTGTTCACCTCCTGCAATATGGGGATTAATACCGTCTTCTCCCCTTCGGGATATCAGGAAGACTATCACACAGGGGTGTACAGTGTCTGCGATACTGGGAGTAATATCAGCCTCTCAGCCTTGAGATATTGAGAAGAATGTCACAGGGTGGATGTACATCCCCTGCCATATTTGGAGTAATATCAACCGCTCCCCTCCATGGATATTTGGAACAATATCCCAGGCTGGGTGTACGCCTCCTGCTCGACGGGGAGTAATATCATCCTCTCCCTCCCAGGATATTAATTACAATATCACTGGGCGGGTGAACACAGCCTGCGAATTATTATCATCCTCTCCCCCTCCGGATACTAGGAACAATATCGCAGAAGAGCTGTACCCTCCCTGTGATATTGGGAGTAATATAATACACACTTTCCATGAATATTAGGAGCAGTATCACCGGGTGGCTGTCCATTCATTGCTATGTTTGGAGTCATGTCATACTCTACCCCCATTTATATTAGGATCAGTGTCACGTGGTGAGTGTACACCTACTGCGATATTAAAACTAAAAATCATGCTCTCCGTCCCTGGATATTAGGAACAGCATCACAGGTAGGTGTACACCCCCTGCGGTATTAGGAGTAATAATATAATTAATTATTAAACATCAATGATCGATTTTAATAATTATCAATGATACTATTAATTAATAGGAATCCATTTATTAATTATGGATAATTATTTTAAATATATGATTATGCATACTTAAAATTAATTATTAACATTAATCACGTTTAACAATATTATTAGTTCTTAATATTAATTATTATTTTATTACCAGCATCACTTAGTATTGATTTAAGTAACATTATTGCTGATATCATTATTTTATTATTAACAGTGATATTACTATTAATTATTAATACTAATTGTTAACATTTTTAACCAGTATTAATTTTTACTATCTTTATTGTGATTATTAACATCGATGATTACTCTTAATTTTTCTTATATTTATTAATATTAATAATTAATAGACTTGTTCCTGATATCCAGCGGGGAGAGGATATTACTCCCAATATCAAAGAAAGTATACACCCCTCTATGATGTTATTCCTAATAGCCAGGGGGTAGAGGATGACATTATTGAAACTATCACAGTGGGTGTACAACCCTTCGGTCATCTCATTCCTTATATCCTGGGTGGGAGAGGATGATAGGACTCCAAATATCGCAGAGGGCGTAGACCTCCCCCGTGATATTGTCCCTAACATCCCAAAGTGGAAAGGATGACATTTCTTCTGATTTCGCAGGGGGTGTACACCACCCCTGTGATATGGTTCCTAATATCCAGGAGGCGAGAGGATGATATTAGTTTCAATATTGCAGGAGGTGTACACTCCCTAGTGATATTGTTCTTAATATCCAGGGGCAGAGAGGACTATATCACTCCCAATAGAGCAGGGGGTGTACACCCCTTCTGTGACATTGCTCCTAATAGCCAGTGGGGAAGAGGAAGATATTACCCCCAATATCACAAGGGGGTGTATACCTTATATCCTGGAAGGGAGACGATGATACTAGTGGCAATATCGCAGGGTGTGTACACACCCACTGTGATATTGTTCCAAATATCCAGAGAAAGAGAAAATGATATGACTCCCAATATCACAGGAAGTGTACATCCTCCTGTGATGTTGTTTCTTATATTCAGGGGGAGAGGATGATATTACTCTCAATATCACAGGGGTTGTACACACCTCCTGCGGTATTGTTCTTAGTATCCCGAAGGGGAGAGCATAATATTACTCTCAATATGGCAGGGGGTGTACACCTCCTTTGTAATATTGTTCTTAATATCCATGATGGGAGAGGATGATATGACTCCCAATATCACAAGAAGTGTACAGTCGAGGCCGGGCACGGTGGCTCACGCCTGTCATCCTAGCACTTTGGGAGGCCGAGATGGGCGGATCACGAGGTCAGGAGATCGAGACCATCCTGGCTAACACGGTGAAACCGCGTCTCTACTAAAAATACAAAAAACTAGCTGGGCGAGGTGGCGGGCGCCTGTAGTCCCAGCTACTCGGGAGGCTGAGGCAGGAGAATGGCGTAAACCCGGGAGGCGGAGCTTGCAGTGAGCTGAGATCCGGCCACTGCACTCCAGCCTGGGGACAGAGCTAGACTCCGTCTCAAAAAAAAAAAAAAAAAGAAGTGTACAGCGCCTGTGATATAGTTCCTAACATCTAGGTGGGGAGAGGATGATATTACTGCCCATATCACACGAGTTGTAAAACCACTTCAATATTTTGCCTACAATCCTGAGGGGAGAGGATGATATTACTCCCAATATCGAAGAAGGCTTACACCCCCCTGTGACACTATGCCCAATATCCACGTTGGAAGATGAAGACATTACGCCCAATATCGCAGGGGATGTACACCCACCTTGGGATATTGTTCCTTATATCGAGAGGGGGAGAAGATGCTATTGCTCCCAATAACACAGGGGCTGCGGAGGTACACCCCTACTGTGATATTATTCTTAATATCCTAGGGAAGAGAGGAGGATACTACACCCAATATCGCAGGGTGTACACCCACCCAGTGATATTGTTCTTAATGTACTCCACCTCCCACCACCAGGGATATCAGTCCTAATATCCAGGGGAAGAGAGGATAACATTATGCCCAATATCGCAGGGGAGTGTACACACCCTCTGTGATGTTGTTCCTAGTATCCAAAGGTAGAGACGATGATATTACTGGCCATATCGCAGGGGGTGTACACCCTTCTATGATACTGTTTTTGACATTCAGTAGGGGAGAGGACAACATTAATCCCAATATCACAGAAGGTGTACAGACCCCTGTGATGTAGACCCTAATGTACAGGGGAAAGGGAAGACTATTGCTCTCATTATCACAGGGGCTGTAACCACCCTGCCCCCCGTATATTGTTCCTAATATGCAGCGGGGTGGAGGCTCATAGTACTCCCAATATCCCAGAAGGTGCACACACCTGTGATAGAGTTCCTAATATCCAGCGGGAAAGAGGCTGATTTTACTTTAGATATTGCAGTGGGTGTACAGCGCCCCCAAACCCGGGGTATCGTTCCTAATATCCAGGCGGGAAGAAGATGACATGGGTGACAATATCGAAGTGGGTGGACACTTCTTCAGTGATATGGTTCCTGATATCCAGGAGGTGAGTGGATATTATTCCCAATAAAGTAGGAACCGTTCAGTCACCCTGGGATTTTGTCCTTAATAACCACAAGGGAGAGGTGATATTACTACCAATATTGCAAGGGGTGTACACCCCTCCTGTGATATTGTTTCTTATATCCAGGAAAGGAGAAGATGGTATTAGTACCAATATTGAAGGGATGGACAGCCCCCATGGGATATTGTTCTAAAGATGCAGGTTGAAAGAGGATGAGACTCCCTCCAATACAACAAGGGGTGTACACCCTGCCTGTGATATGAATCCGAAAACCTAGAAGAAGAGAGAATGACATTGCTTCCAAAAACACACGGGGTGTACACCCACCCTGTGATATTGTTCCTGTCATCTAAAGGAAGAGATGATGATACTACTCCCACTACCGGAGAAGGTACACACCCCCCGTGATATTGTTCCTCATAACTTGGTGGGAGAGCATGATATTACTTCCAGTATGACAGTGGCTTCACACCCAGTCTGTGATATTGCTCCTAATTTCCAGTAGGTAAAGTATGATGTTCCTGCCAAGAGAGTAGTGGGTGTACAGCCACCCTGTGATATGTCTCCGAATATTCAGGGAAAAATAGGAAGACATTACCCCAAATCTCCGAAAAAGTGTACACCCATTGTGTGATATGGTTCCTAATATCGGGAGGTGCAGAGGATGGTAATCTTTCTCCCATCGCAGGCTGTGTACACATAACCTGTGAAATTGTTCCTAATATCGTGAACAAAAGAGACTGCTAATAATGAACACACATTTCAGGGGGGAATAATTATTAAGATCCACATCGTAAAGGGGAGTAATAGCGATCCTCTCTCTCCCCCTCACTGTTACAATCCACATCGCAGGGGGTGAGAAACCCCCCACGATATGGGGAGTAATAGCATCCCCCTCTCTCCCCCTGGCCTTATATAAGGAGGCTGGCCTTATATAAGTGCCCCCCAATGCCATCGCAGGCTTTAATGTATTCACTTAAAGTTTTTTCCTCATTTAGATCTGCCATTCTCTTAATAGTTCTAATTGCTGCCTGACATTCTGTATTAGCATTTTCATGAGCAAGCAGCTGAACGATCACTTTCTTGGCATGAGAATTGGAAATAGCCTTTTGAGCCGCATCCTGCAAACGGGCGATAGAATCAGGATAAGGCTCCCTTGGACCCTGTTGAAATGTGTGAAAAGAAGGATAAGCAGTAGCAGGGTCGTGAATTTTTTCCCAGGCTCTTAGGCATGTAGTTCTGAGCTGATCAACAGCCTCATCACCCATTACCATCTGTTGATTTAGAGTACCCCATGCCTGTCCGATTCCAAGCAATTGATCAGGTGTGATATTAACGGGACGTTGGGCTTGAGCATTTCTGCCTGATTTGTTGCTTCATCCGTCCACCAGGTTTTCAATTGGAGAAATTCAGAGGGGGACAGGGTGGATCGGGCTAATGCCTCCCAATCCATACGTATTCAACGTCTGTTATAAGCCACACATTGTAACAAGGAATGAACATAAGGGGAATTTGGCCCATATTGTCCAATTGCTTGCTTTAAGTCTTTTAATATTTTAAAAGGAAATGGCTCCCAGCATGCTTGAATAAGTTCTCTGGCCTCCTCAGCTGGTGAAATAATTACCAGAAACTGCCAAGCATTCAAATCCCCCATTTCTTGTGCCTGGCGAATGGATGCCTGGATTGTCCCTGTGCCATATTTGTATTTGGACCCGCTCGCAGCACTCCTCTACCATAATTAACAGGTGGGCAAGCCTAGATCATTCCCTCATCCTAATTGGCTGTTGGACAAGCCTGAAGCTTCCCTTCGCCATAGTTACTGGCGGGGCCTGCAACAATGGGAGCGGCAAGGCGCGGGTCTCAGGCTCCCCTTCCAAATATTCACGAGGCTGGCCTGGGGGTGGCCATTCCAGACCTTCCCCTAAAGGCGCAGTAGGTGGCAGTTTCTTTTATAAGTCTTTGGAGATTAGCATACATACCTTCCCGTTTCTCGCCCTTTTTTAAACGAGACTGTCATGGTTCACTTAGCTGATAATTAGACTCCTGATTATTCAACTTTCCTATGTCATCCTGAAAATCCTCCTTCTCCTCCTCAGTGTGGAAGGGCTCCAGGGCTGTTTTAATTGCAGACCACACAGACCAAGCAGAGACGGGAATATCGCGGCCCTCTTGTTGTGCTCGTTTTAAGTCTGATCCCACCTTGTCCCAATCTTCTACATTCATGATTCCATATTCCGGGAACCAAGGAGAATACTTGTCTACCAGACGGAACAAAGATGTGAGATTTTGGGTACTGACAATTACCCCTCCGTGGCGCAGTAACTGCTGCACAAGGCTTAAGTAATTAGCGAACTTACTCTCAGCTCAACCCACATTTTCCCGAGGTTTCCCTGGAATTCCCCGAGCGCCCTCCTTACCCTAGAGCTTGAAGTGAAAACCTACTCGGGAGTCCTTTGTCGGTCGTCCTCAGCTTTCCACGCTCTGGTGTTCCTTCACTGGATTATTTGTAGAGATTACGGGGAGCCCTGCGTTGGGCACCAGAGACAGCCTGGGCAACCGAGGGAGACCCCCGTTTCTACCAAAAAAAAAAAAAAAAAAAAAAATTAGCTAGGTGTGGTGTCGCTCGCCTGTAATCTCAGCTACTCCATGAGAAGTCAGACAAAACCTGCCACCAGAGACTGATTTTCTTCTAAAATGCTTTCTCCAAAATATTACAAAAGGGGGAAATTGGAAAGGAAAATATTTTGGGCCCCGCAAATCACTAAGATAAAGGGAAAAATCAATCTGGGAACTGCTTAGGGCAAACCTGCCTCCCATTCTATTCAGTCATCCGCTGCTCGCTGAGAAGAATGCATATCTTATTGCCTCCTTTGGAAAGGCTCATCAGAAACTCAGAAGAATGCAACCGTTCCTCTCTCACCTACCTGTGACCTGGAAGCCCCCTCCTGGCTTCGAGTTGACCCACTTTTGCTTCAGGTTGTACCGGATCAAACCAGTGTTCATCTTACATATGTTGATTGATGTCTCCTGTCTCCCTAAAATGTGTAAAACTGTCAGATACAGTCAGTTTCTCTTCCAAGGTTTGGCATGTTAACGTTCTTGTGTTTTGTTCTCGAACTCAACTTTCTTGTTCTCCATGCCTCCTTGCCCTTAGTTACTGTAAACAACCTTCCCCCGTCAGTTCTAATCAATAACTCACATCTGTTCCCTTGGTTACCTGCTCTGCACCCATTTCTCCCTTCCAAACCACACGTCCCACCGTTGTAACTCACGACTCCCTTCCCCCTTCCTTATTTGGGAAAGTATTCACAAATAGCCAACGGGGTCAGTTTAGATCTTGAGGTCTGGCCCCAGCCCATGCCAGAGGTAGGGATTGCATTAGGAATAAAAACCCCTGCTTTTCTTTGTTCCTGTGCTCTTGCGATTGTGATTGATGCGAGCAGCACGCTTCCGCAGAGGTAAATTGCGTTGCTGAGAAAACTTTTGCTTAAGTGCTGGTTTCACTTTGCGTCACCGAGCATTTATCTCCAACAAAACCAAGCTGTGCTCTGACCACCTTGGGCAACTGTCATCAGGACGTCCTGAGGCTGTGTCATGCACAAGCATCCCCAACCTTGGCAAAATAAACTTTCTAAATACTCTTTTCCCCAAATGCTCAGGGAGACTGATTTGAATAATCATAAAACTCCGAGGCTGCACTGCAGCCTGGGCGACAGAGCAAGACTCTGTTTCAGAAATAATAAAATAAAATAAATAAATAAATAAAATAAAATAAAAATCAAATCTCCGGTCTCCCGCACAGCCGACTGCGTGAATTACTCCTTCTCTATTGCTATTCCCCCCGTCTTGAGAAATCGGCTCTGTCTAGGTAGCGGGCAAGGTGAACCCACTGGGCAGTTACAGAATTGCCATTATATTGCTTGCAATTTTATATCTTATTACGCAAAATAGCTATAATCTTGTATACAAGGTTAAATGCGAATGTGCTCCTTGCGTGGTCAGATCCCAGCGCAGGAAGGACGCACCCCCTATAAACCGCTAGGCCAAAACGGTCATTCTGGCCACATCCAGCCTCACGTGAGATCGCAATCTCCTGTCACTCAGGGCCTGAGGGGGCGGGGCCTGAAGCCCCATACAATCAGGGGCGCTGGGGTGGGGACCCGTCAATCAGGCGCGCCGCCGGAAAGGAGAGGGCGGCTTCCGGGATCCGGCTGGCGGGCGCTTTGTCTCGCCTTCGCCACCGTAGGCTCTTCCTGTGAGTCTCCGCTGCTACTTCCTGGCTCTGGGAGGCCCGGTGCCTCTGCAGCAGCCTCGGCCACCCTGTGACCTGCGGGTATTGGGACATCCCTAGCTGACGCCGGGACACCCGGGAAGCCGAGGAACGGTGAGTGGACTGCGCCTGGCTTCCGGAAGTGGGGAAGAGGGCTGGGTGAAACCTGCTGGAACCAGCCATGGGCTGCGGAACCTGCCCTGCGGGCCAAGTCGCCGGGCGCAGCCGGGCCTCAGTCCCCTTCTGTGCAGGGCCGGGCGGGGCGGGCAGCGGGACCCCTGCGTCCTGTCTGTACCTGCGGGCGCCACTTCCGCCGGCCGGAGCCCTCTCGGGAACCCCGCGCCCCCCCACCCAGGTAGTGCGGTGACCACGGGAGGGTGATCCGGGAGAGCCCCGACTCGGTGTGCGGGGTTCCAGCGTGGGAGGAGCTGTGGTTCATGGAGCTTCCAGTCCCACCTTTCTCCCCCTAAAATTAACCTGAGGCTTTGTTAAAACGTTAAACGGCGTGTTTGAGCAAACGCGATTCATAAACGGGTACCGCAGTCATGGTTTGTGGTTTGGGGTCCACGGGAGGGGCGTAAATGAGAGGCTTTGATAAGGTGAATGAGGAAGCAAACCATACATATATATACACACACATATATATACATATATATACACATATACCCACATATATATATATATATATATATTTTTTTTTTTTTTTTTCTTTTTTTTTTGAGACGGAGTCTCACCCTGTCGCCAGGCTGGAGTGCAATGATGCAGTCTCAGCTCACTGCAACCTCTGACTCCCGGGTTCAAGCGATTCTCCTGCCTCAGCCTCCCAAGTAGCTGGGCTTATAGGCGCCACCACCACGTCCAGCTAATTTTTGTATGTTTAGTAGAGACAGGGTTTCGCCATGTTGGCTAGGTTGGTTTCGAACTCCTGACCTTAATTGATCACCCTCCTCGGCCTCCTAAAGCGCCGGGATTACAGGCGTGAGGCACCTTGGCCAAAATATTTTTCTGTTTCCAAACATTTTACATGAGAGGAAAGCGGAGAATAAATCATCTGACACTCTACTGTAAAAAAAAATCTTTGTACCTCTCTTCTTTTCATCTTTCCTAAGTGTACATATTACCAAAATGTCTTTAGGTTGAGGTCCCCCCGTGAAAACTTGACAGGGTGTTGTGTCCTCAGCCACTCTCCTGTCTTTTCCTAGTCCTGGCATTTTAGAACTGTCTGGGGGATGACCCAGGATACCCACAGTGGCCATGTCTATTGGAGGGTCTAGTGAGTATCAGCCCCGGGGTCATCTCATCCCCAAGGACAGCCTGAGGTATGGGGTAGAGTCTCTCAGGGGAGCAGCTGGATGCTCTTGGCCTTAGAGGAATCTCCTGGTATAGTTTCATCTAAAATGGTGACCCCTTAGGGTCATTAAAATTTTAGGACATTAAAATTAATGGACAATACAATGTAATGTCATGAAAGTTAGGTCATTAAAATTATTCCTCCGGCCCGAGTTTTTATTCCTCGAAGACACATTGATGGTTTGCCAATTGGATGCTGATATTGAGAGGAAAAGGCAGAAATGATTTCTGCTCTCTAGCTTGTCTCAGACCTGTGAAGAGAGAAAAACCGTCCCAAAGGACAAGGAAAACCCACCCCAGAGAGGATGTGCAAGAACCTGAATATTAAAATGCACTTAAGGCACACAGGAGGACAAAGAGCAGTGCCAGTGCCTCGTAGGTGGTCATTGAGTACTTTACTGAACAGGATGGGTGTCCTAAGGGATAGAATGGCCTGCCGTGACACTTAGAAAGGTCTGCGTTGGAGTCAGCACTGCCTCTCCCTGAGTTTGTTACCTTGAAAAGGCTTGTCCTCTTATTTGAGTTTCAGGTTTTCACTGACTGTAAGATACATTTTGTCAGTACAGCTTGAAAGATAAAAATACTATTTCCAAAGAGGTAGTGTAAAATGATGTATTTCATTTGCTAAAAATTCGTATTTATTTCTTCCCCAGAGTGAGTGTAGTAAGTTTTAAAGTTCTGTTCTTTTTAAGGGTAATTTCAAATGGAATTGTAGGACTTAGCTTTGTAAATGCTACTGGTGAAATAAAAGTGTGTTAGATAAATTGATGATTTATAAAGATTCACCAAAATGTCAGTTCCCCTCTTGTAGCTTGGTGAAGAATTTATGACAGTGGACACATGTGTATCCTCTTATCTGGGTGTCTGAGTGTTGTTTTTTGTTTTTTGGAGATGCTGTCTTGCTCTGTAGCCTGGCTAGAGTGCAGTGGCGCCATCTCTGCTTACTGCAACCTCCGCCTCCCGAGTTCAAGTGATTCTCCTGTGTCAGCCTCCCGAGGAACTGGGATTATAGGCACCCACCACCACACCCAGCTAATTTTCATATTTTTAGTAAACACAGGGTTTTAGGCCTGGCACGGTGGCTTATGCCTGTAATCCCAGTCCTTTGGGAGGCCAAGGTGGTTGGATCACGAGGTCAGGAGTTCCAGAGCAGCCTGGCCAACATGGTGAAACCCTGTCTCTACTAAAAATACGAAAAAATTAGCTGAGCGTGGTGGCAGGCACCTGTAATCCCAGCTACTCGGGAGGCTGAGGCAAGAGAATTGCTTGAACCCAGGAGGTGGAGGTTGCAGTGAGCCAAGATCTTGCCACTGCACCCCAGCCCAAGGGACAATGCGAGACTCCGTCTCAAAAACAAATAAACAAACAAACAACAAAAAGACGGGATTTTTGCCATGTTGGCCAGACTGGTCTCAACCTCCTGACCTCAGGTGATCCCCTGCCTCAGCCTCCCAAGGTGCTGGGATTACAGGCGTGAGCCACGACGCCTGGCCCACTCTATTTTCTTTTATTCCCTAAATTTTAATATGTTTGAGTTTGTCTGTTCCTTTATCACTTTTTTCTTACATAAAAAAAATTCTGCCTAATCCTTCTTTAAAAAAAAAATCTTCCTGTGACTTCTGAAAGTATTCTGGTTTTATCTTTTGTATTTGAATATATAATAAGATGATTATTGTTCATGGAATAGAGAAGAATGCAATGCATTTTCCCAAGTAGATGCCAGCCTGGTTTGCCTCATATTTTAAAGTGCATGTAATTTCTTTTTCTATTCTATAGTGCCTACTCTATCATTCCTCAACTTTCCATATAGATGCTGGGTCATTAAGACTTTTTTTTTCCTTTGGTCTGCTTGCTCATCTCTTTGCTAACACTGTGCTGTCCTGAATATTTTTGCTTGAAAATCTTAGAAGTATGTTAGACAAGCCATCACTCTTTTTTTAGATGACTAAAAATGATTAGACATTGGTCATTTTTACTGCATATGAAAGAGTAGCTTTTCTTGCCTAAAACCACCTGATTTGGGAATTTATGTGGTTTCATAGGAATAGCATCTGGAAGTGGTGACATTAATGTCATTTTAAAAAGCATGTGTCCTATTTCCTCTTATTCCTTTCTGCCTTGATATTGTGCAATAGAAATTTGAAAAATTGTTGTATTAGTATTGTTAAATATCAATTATTGGTTTTATTTACTACTCAATTAAATTTAATAAGCCTATTCTCTCTTGGTGTAATCACGTGGAATGGGTTCACTTCCACAGTTAACAAGTGACAGCACATGTAAAATATTGTCTACCAGGGAAATTCATTGAACACTAGTGTTCAGACTGTGTTTTTGTGTCTGGTTCCCTAAGCACCACTGCAGTGACACAAAATAATAGACTTTCAGCAGAAGAAGTTTTGGAAAATATACTGCATAAGCCATTTAGATGCAGTGAGTCATTCTTATTACTTGGGTTGGTGGAATCCCTTTCAAAATGTAAGTTCCTAATACAAACAAAGATTGAACTTTGCGAGCAGGTATTTTTAAGAATAAGTAGTCTCAGGACTGATAATATTAACTCACTTATGCACATCAGGTAGGACTTTAGTATTACAGATACTAGAAATGTACAAAGTGAAGTTAAAAGGTAACTCCTAGCAGCATATCGTAATCTCACTCCCTGGATTCTCTAATGAGATGGGTGTTTCTACTTTGCTGTTGCCTTTTTGAATAGTTCAATTCTAGCATTAGTACTGCTGTGTGGGAGGGAGTATGTGTGAACAGAGTAAGAGTTGTGACAATCAAGTCATAGAATAAATGCTTGGAAATTTTAGAATCATGTAAACAGCTTATGAATTGAGTATACATTCCCAGTGCTCTCAGTCTCACTCATCCTTCTATCCACATGTGTGGAATGTTTTAGGACTCCATGGCTTTTGAGGATGTGGCTGTGAACTTTACCCAGCAGGAATGGGCTTTGCTAGATTCTTCTCAGAAGAATCTCTCCAGAGAAGTGATGCAGGAAACCTGCAGGAACCTGGCTTCTGTAGCTAAGAATGACAACACATTTCACTTAATTACAGAAGTATTTCCCTATCATCAGTGCTATTTGTGATTTGGAATGGGGCAAGGGAATGATTTGGTGAATAAATCAGGCATGGGCACTGTGTACAATGAACATGAAATCTAGTAATGTTTCTATAGTTTGAAATAATTCATGATAATTTTGTGCATCTGCATTTTAGGAAAAAACGGAAAGACCAGAATATTGAAGATCACTTCAAAAAACGGGAAAGATAGAAGATAATTTGCACCGAGAAGAGGAAATAAAGTCCTCTGAAGGAATCTTAGCATGTCATGAATTTAAAAACAAGCAATCAAAGCAAATAAGAGTCACTTGAAATTCATTTCCTTTTAGAAAAATTTCACCCAAAATGTAACATACATCAGTGTAGCAGTCAGTGTTTGGAAAACAGTTTACTTGAAAATAGTACTACAAAATTGTATATATGAATGTTACTATTTTGGTCATAGCCATGTAGGTGGTAGCTGTGTTTTCAGTAGTAGCCCATTTACTTTCAAATAATTCAGTCATGGCACAAAAACAAAAACAAAACAAAACAAAAATGCATTTTCCCTAGTATTGGTAGCAGTGTAAGTCGAAGACCTATGAATGAGTAGAAAGTTATTAAACCAACCAATAGTAATGTGCTTGTCATTTTTTTTACAGAAATCATATGGTACAGAGACTGTGTGAAAGCAAAGAAGGTAGTCAGTATGGACAAGCTGTCAGCCACATTCCAAATCTTGATCTGAATGAGAACATTTCTACTGGATTAAAACAATGTGAATGCAGTATTTGTGGAAAAGTCTTTGTACATCATTCCCTCCTTAATAGGCACATCCTAGCTCACTCAGGATACAAACCATATGGAGAGAAGCAATATAAATGTGAACAGTGTGGGAAACTCTTTGTTTCTGTTCCAGGTGTTAGAAGACACAGGATAATGCACAGTGGAAATCCAGCTTATAAATGTACGATATGTGGGAAAGCTTTTCATTTTCTCAATTCAGTTGAAAGACATCAGAGAACTCACACAGGAGAAAAACCCTATAAATGTAAACAATGTGGTAAAGCGTTCACTGTTTCCGGTTCTTGTCTAATACATGGACGAACTCACACTGGAGAGAAACCCTACGAATGTAAGGAATGTGGGAAAACACTCAGATTTTCTTGTTTTAAGATGCATGAAAGGACTCACACTGGAGAGAGATGTACCAAATGTGATAAAGCCTTCAGCTGTTCCACTTCCCTTCATGACCATGGAAGCATTCATACTGGAGAGAGACCCTATGAATGTAAACAATGTGGCAAAGCCTTTAGTTGTTTGAGTTCCCTTTGTAACCATAGAAGTACTCATACTGGAGAGAAACCCTATGAATGTAAACAATGTGACCAAGCCTTCAGTCGCCTCAGTTCCCTTCACCTCCACGAAAGAATTCATACTGGAGAAAAACCCTATGAATGTAAGAGATGCGGTAAAGCCTACACTCGTTCCAGTTACCTTATGCGCCACTAAAGAAGTCATGATATAGAGGTTGGGTGTAGTGACTCAGCCTATAATCCCAGCACTTTGGGAGGCCAAGGTGTGTGTATTGCTTGAGCCCAGGAGTTCATAACCAGCCTGGATTAAAACAATGTGAAACAACCTGGGCATCGTGATGAAACCCTGTCTCTACAAAAAATAAAATAAAGCCGGGCCCGGTGGCTCATGCCAGCTACTCGGGAGGCTGAGGCAGGAGAATGGCGTGAACCTGGGAGGCGGAGCTTGCAGTGAGCCGAGATCGCACCACTGCGCTCCAGCTTGGGCGACAGAAGCAGACTCCGTCTCAAAACAAAAACAAAGAAAATAATTAGCTGGGCATGGTGGCACATTTCAGTTGCCTTAGTTCTTTTTCAAGGACATAAAAGGCCACAGGGGCTTGGGGGGAAGCCCTGTGCATGCGGATCACGAGGTCAGGAGATCGAGACCATCCTGGCCAACATGGTGAAACCTCGTCTCTACTAAAAATACAAAAATAGCTGGGTGTGGTAGCATATGCTTGTAATCCCAGCTACTCAGGAGGCTGAGGCAGGAGAATCACTTGAACCCAGGAGGCGGAGGTTGCAGGGAGCTGAGATTGTGCCACTGCACTCCAGCCTGGCGACAGAGTGAGACTCCATCTCAAAAATAAATAAATAAATAAATAAAGCCCCTTGAATGTAAGAAATGTGGTAAAACATTTACTCTTTCCCATTCCCTCATAAACATGAAAGCTCACACTGCAGAGAAACCTTAAGAATGTAGGAAATGTGGTCAAGACTTCAGATTTTCCTGAAGATTTGGGAGGGCTCAGAGTGGAGAAAAGGTTTTGAATTTAAATTTATGGTAAGGCCTTCGGTTGTATTAGTTCCATTTGAAGACATCAGCTCATTCCTGAGAAAAACCCTATGAATGTCCAGAATGTTTGAGTGTTTCATTTCTCTCATACCCACTCAAGGACATATGAAAATGCACGCTGTAGCTGGCTGGACCTTGTAAATACAAGAACGTACACAGGATTAAAACTCTAATAGTTTAGAAACTGCAAGAATATTTTCAGTTTTAACATTTACTTGAAAAGCCGTGTGAAAACTCCCACAGGAAAGAAGTTCTATAAGTGAAGCTTTTCTAATTTGGAAAGCCTGATGCAAATTAATTATCGTGCAGTGCTTGAAAAAAATCTATGAAATGTTACACAAGTTACAAGTATATTGTTTTTATCAGTGGCCCATTCTTAAAGAGTCTTGAGTATGCATTTCACCTTATTTTGCAGGGAAACCTTGAGGTGAGAGTTCTGTAAATGTTCTTTAAGCAGTAGTACTTGAATTTCATAGATGATATTTTCTTCAGTTTGTTGGTAGAATTTTTGTCTATTCATTTGATAATGTGCTGGATTCATGGTTGAATTTGGATGTTTTTCTAATATGTAGGTAAGTTTAATTTTTTTATTTCATTATTATTTCTTTTTGAGATGGAGCCTCACTCTGTTGCCCAGGCTAGAGTGCAGTGGTTCGATCTCGGCTCACTGCAACCTCCGCCCCCTGGGTTTAAGCGATTCTCCTGCCTTAGCCTTCCGAGTAGCTGGGACTACAGGTGAACGCCACTACATCCAGCTAATTCTTTGTATTTTTAGTAGAGACAGGGTTTCACCATGTTGGCTAGGCTGGTCTTGAACTCCTGACCTCATGATTTGCCCGCCTCGGCCTCCCAAAGTGCTGGGATTACAGGCATGAGCCACTGCGCCCGGTCAGGTAAGTTTCATTTGTATGTATTGTCCTGTGATTAATGGACCAGTGAATAATGATTGTGAATTCTTGGGATTGTCTTACTAGCCTCATTTGGCAAATTTTGATTATCCCTTGTCCATTATACACACCACCTATTTTTATTAAATGAAAAACTACTCTTGATGTAAAGATATTTATTTTTTGCTAATAATGAGTTGGTATTAATTCCTAAGTACATACAGTTTACCCAGGAGACGGAGCTTGCAGTGCGCCGAGATCACACCACCGCATTCCAGCAAGGGTGACAGAGCGAGATTCTGTGTCAAAAAAAAAAAAAAAAAAAGGAATATCCTCACTTTTTAAATGCTATACCACTCTCTACGCTCAAGTTAATCCCTGTTTGGGCCTGTGAGAGCTTACACCATCCTCCTGTATGTAATTAATAACTGATATCTGGCTTATCTGTTTAGTAATAGATGTTATATGTTTAACGGTGCCAGTAAACGTAGGGTGCTAATTCCTTCCTCACCAGTGGGGTGCATGAGACGCTATTGAAACAATTGGCAACACGAATGGAATGGACCAGCCCTCATGCAGGACACCAGCTCAACTTGACCTACCTGCTGTGGGCTGACTGTTACATAACACATCAGCAGTCACCTAGGTCAGAACCGTGAGCTGACGATGGGCGTTCCCTTTGGTCTGCACAGTGTTTTGTGGTCTTCAGGTGTTGTCATCTTCTTCCACACGAAAATGCTCTCATCTCCTAGACATCAATGTTTAACTGCACCCCAGCATGACCTTTGGCCTGTGCTTAGCAGGCAGTTTTGAGGCCCTGGCTTATGAATGCACAAAAGCACAGCACGTAAGCCAACACATAAGTCCTAATTAGCAAGAATCAGGCTGTATGTCTGTAGTCCCTGCATCTGCTCTGGTCACCATCTCTGTGTGCTTAGGGCAGCCATGTGAACATTATTAATTATTTTACACTCCAAGACAATAGTTATTATGTAAGCAGAAGTAGTGGCCTTGTTTGTTTCTTGTGCTGCTGCTCCCCTTGCTGCTGTACCATACACCCTCCTGATGAGGTGTACATCTATGGTGTCTCATGGTTCAGGCACTGCTGAGTAAAGAAAATGGGAAGAAATAGTTTGATATTAGCCCCTACCGAAGCATATGAAGAAGCGTCTCAGCTGCTTTCATTGAAAAATTCCTGACCAGTGTGTGGGCTTTTCTTATCACTGCTGCTTATCAGCATGTCAAAAGTCTCATCTTCGGACTGCAAGTCTTGACGGCCTTAGTTATAGTGGCCTTACTGCATGTGGAGCTAACCCCAGGAAGATGGAGTGACACTCTCTGGAGGATTAGGTGGTCTCCTCCAATGTGGGTTGATGGGCTTCTGAACTCTTTCCTTTAACCATGCAGAGAGTCTACACTGCCAGTGATCATGTGCCACAACTCTATAGATGTAGAAATTCAAAATATTCTGAAATAGTTTCCATTGAAAGGAAATAGAAAAGCGTCTGGTGCCACGCTCCGTTAAGAGAACTAGTAGATGGCTCACAAGAACACTCTGTCGCTACTGTCTGTGCCTCTGTCACAGCAAATATCCTGATCCTTCAGTTTTAAGGGTGCAGGGCCATTTTCTTCCCTTTCTTACTGGTAGTTCTCAAGATAACTGTATGGTATGCTGGGAAGGCAATATCCTGATAATCAAGTGACATTGGTCAGAACAGCCCAGCCTCTGTTATAGGCCCTGCTCGAAACGGAATTGCCTTTAACGCTTGTGTCCAGCAAACCACATCCTGGGAGAAAACCCAATGTGGGCTTATTTCTGGGGTCCCTCAGTTGTAGTGCAAGTGAAGCATTTATAGTCAAAACTCCATCCATCTGCTCTGGGTAGCCTTCCTGATCTTGTGGTAGTGGTTCATATTGAATCCTAGACTTCTGTTGTCTTTTGTTTGCTATTTGTAAGTAATAAATTCACTTCATGGAATTTATCTATGAATGTATTTGGCCTCATTGTCTCAGAAAAGTTGGTAGCCATTGCACAGTGAACCCGCTTCATAATTGGTGAAAACACCTATGGCCCCCTTGTGCCACAGCAAGGAGGTTCATTCAGCCAAACATAACTTCATGTTTATAAACCCTATAGCACAATTATTACCATGTGGGAGGCCTTTAACAATGGTGATGCTGATTTGAAAAACTCTGAAGGAAGAAATTTACCCAAATGGGTTGGGTACATGGAGTTCCTCCTAATTCCAAGAAACCCTTACTCCCCTCCACCTAAAAAGAGTGGAGAGGCCGGGTGCGGTGGCTCAGGCCTGTAATCCGAGCACTTTGGGAGGCCGAGGTGGGCAGATCACAAGGTCAGGGGTTCAAGACCAGCCTGACTAACATGGGGAAGGGCCATCTCTACTAAAAATACAAAAATTAGCTGGGCGTGGTGGCAGGCACCTGTAATCCCAGCTACTCGGGAGGCTGAGGCAGGAGAATCGCTTGAACCTGGGAGGCGGAGGTTACAGTGAGTCGAGACAATGCCACTGCACTCCAGCCTAGGTGACAGGGCAAGACTCCGTCTCGGGGGGGGAAAAAAAGTGGATAAGAACTGAAACAGGTTAAAATTTCAACTAATTGGAAATGCAAGTTTACAAAAATAATATTTAAAATAAAAGGTTAAATGAGTGCTCATTGAATTTTATGCCTCCACAAAATAGGTTGTGAGTTAACTTCCACATTTATTGAAAGCCACCAAAGTTGGGAAGCCTCCGTGTCTGAAATTCACAGGTGGCTCAAATAAGAATTATACCTCGGGATACCCCAAAGTTTAAATATGGTATCCCCTATGATATTATGAGGAATTACTGTACATAAATCAGGTGTCTTCCTTTAACTCTGAAAATCATATTATCTTGCCTAAATTCTCCATAAGCATTGCTCCGCAGTATCCTATAATGGACATGGCTTTTCTGACCAATGAGCACTAAAATTAAGTGTGTGAGACTCACCTATGTTCTTATCAAAATGGAAATCCCTGAATCCCACCAGTTAGAATAACATGACAGA